CTAACTGTATTGTGAAATTAATATATATATATATATATCAAAATACACATAGAGCGAAATAATATATATATTTATACACATAAATATATACGTATATATCACTATATATATACCTATATATAAATAAAAATATTTAAAAAAAATTATATAGATATATACATATATATACACATACGTATATATATACATATATTGATTCTACATATATATTTCTGTAATAATTTTACATAATTAGGTCATTTTATTATTTACAATTTGCAGGACCTGCCTGACAACCCAGGCCAAAAGTTCAGGGAATCTAATTTGCTAGCACTATATTTAGCCCTGTAACTTTCCAAGACACCATAAAACCTGTACATGAGGGGTACTGTTTTATTTGGAAGACTTCGCTGAACACAAATATTAGTGTTTCAAAACAGTAAAATGTATTACAACGATGATATCGCCAGTAAAAGTGACGTTTTTTGCATTTTTCACGCACAAACAGCATTAAACGGACAATATTATTGCTATGATACTTTTTACTGTTTTGAAACACAAATATTTGTGTTCAGTGAAGTCTCCCGAGTACAACAGTACCCCTCGTGTACAGGTTTTATAGTGTTTTCAAAAGTTACAGCGTCAAATATAAGGCTTGCGTTTCATTTTTTTCACATTAAAATTTGCCAGATTGGTTACGTTGCCTTTGAGACCCTATGGTAGCCCAAGAATGAAAATTACCCCTATGATGGCATACCATTTGCAGTAGTAGACAACCCAAGGTATTGCAAACGGGGTATGTCCAGTCTTTTTTAGTAGCCACTTAGTCACAAACACTGGCCAAAATTGGCGTTTTTGCATTTTTCACACACAAACAAATACTAACGCTAACTTTGGCCAGTGTTTGTGACCAAATGGCTACTAAAAAAGACTGGACATACCCCATTTACAATACCTTGGGTTCTCTACTATTGCAAATGGTATGCCATTATGGGTGTAAATTTCATTCCCGGGCTACTATACAGTCTCAAAGGCAACGTAACCAATCTGGCGAATTTCAATTTCAAATGTAGCGTGCTATATTTGACCCTGTAACTTCCCAAAACGCCATAAAACCTGTACATAGGGGGTACTGTTTTACACGTGAGACTTTGCTGAATACAAATATGTGTATTTTATTGCAGTAAAAGCAAACAGTATTATGACACTGACCGTTTAATTGTCATGTAGAACTAAAAAATCCAATAAAATCGTATTTTCTCCCATTTTTTTCATATTAAATTATGTTTCATAGCTAAATATTTGATATTAAATGAAAGCCCTGTTTCCCCTGAATAAATGATATATAATAAGGGTGGGTGCATTTACTATGAAAGAGGTGTATTACGGTTGGACAGACATGTAGCGCAAATGCCAGGTTTTGTTTACATTTTGTTTTGTTCACAATGTGTACATTTGGCTCCGTCCTTAAGGGGTTAATGTAACTGTGCAACAACGTTGCAATTAAATGTGCTATGTAAATGATAAGTTACTCCGCCCACTCCAGTTGTAGACTACAGGTGGAAGCAAGAACACTTCACACAATTTCCCCAGAAATTGTAACTTTTCTAGTTATTATTCTTATTATTATAGCAAAATTTGCCACCCTAACTCCTCCCACAGTTTTTACACTACATAGACCAAAATTTACCAAAACGTGCAGATTGTTCCAGATCGGATTGCTATTACTTTGTGGAACGTTTCGCCGAATGGTTCACGGAATATCGTCGTTCTTGTGGCGAAATTTGTCCCATAGGAATGAATGGCAAGCTAGAGTGTGAGCTGGCAAAAGCTGAAAAATCAGGACATGATTTCTAAACTGCCACCACTCCCTTATTTCCAGGCCCACCTACACAAATCTTATATCAAAACGTTCAGCTATCCCTGCTGCCACTAAACATGTCAACGGCTAAGCCGTAGTCCTGATAGTTTTCACAATATGACCATTTGTTTGCAACCAACGCCGTCCATTGACATTCATTGAAACTTCACTCTGCAAAGCTCAAATTTGAAGTGCAATTTCTAAACTGCGACTGTGCCTTCATTTTTAATACTTCAGAGACATACTATGCACCAAAATGTAGGTCTGGGTCTTGTGATTCTCACAATATAAAGCTCTTCGCTGTAGGATTTATAGTTTTTAAAATACGACCGTTTGAAGATGGCAACCGTCAAAATACTCTGACCTGTGCAAGGCTGCGGCAGCAAGTGATGTCATAGACAGGGCCTTTTGAACACCTGCTAATGTTTTTATAAATGTATGGTTTAATGTAACTGTGCAACAACGTTGCAATTAAATGTGCTATATAAATGATAACAGTTACTCCGCCCACTCCAGTTGTAGACTACAGGTGGAGGCAAGAACACTTCACACAATTTCCCCAGAAATTGTAGCTTTTCTAGTTCTTACTGTTGTCCCATGTCCTACATTCTCTCACTATAGGGTTAGGGTTAAATCAGCTTGATGTCTATGGATGATCCCATGAGACCCTCCATGGACAGAACCAATTTTCTGCAGCCATCACTGGTGACGGCTCTCCGGATTGACGCTCACATTTCGACCGGTGTCTAAGAAAGTCAGACAGAGGAGAAATACAGAGACAAAGTAGTCCCTTCTTTCTCTTTGTATATCTCTTGACTGGGTTGGAATTTCAGTGAATTTCAAACACAGTCCCAATGAGTATTTTTATAAAGATTCTATAAAAGTCCCCTCCTTGTCTGACTGTAATCTCAACCCATGTGATGTCAGGCTCTGGTTATACAGTCAGTAATGCCCCATGTGATGTCAGACTCTGGTTATACAGTCAGTAATGTCCCATGTGATGCCAGGCTCTGGTTATACAGTCAGTAATGTCCCATGTGATGTCAGACTCTGGTTATACAGTCAGTAATGTCCCATGTGATGTCAGGCTCTGGTTATACAGTCAGTAATGCCCCATGTGATGTCAGACTCTGGTTATACAGTCAGTAATGCCCCATGTGATGTCAGACTCTGGTTATACAGTCAGTAATGCCCCATGTGATGTCAGACTCTGGTTATACAGTCAGTAATGTCCCATGTGATGTCAGACTCTGGTTATACAGTCAGTAATGTCCCATGTGATGTCAGGCTCTGGTTATACAGTCAGTAATGCCCCCCATGTGATGTCAGACTCTGGTTATACAGTCAGTAATGTCCCATGTAATGTCAGGCTCTGGTTATACAGTCAGTAATGTCCCATGTGATGTCAGACTCTGGTTATACAGTCAGTAATGTCCCATGTAATGTCAGGCTCTGGTTATACAGTCAGTAATGTCCCATGTGATGTCAGACTCTGGTTATACAGTCAGTAATGCCCCATGTGATGTCAGACTCTGGTTATACAGTCAGTAATGCCCCATGTGATGTCAGACTCTGGTTATACAGTCAGTAATGTCCCATGTGATGTCAGACTCTGGTTATACAGTCAGTAATGTCCCCCATGTGATGTCAGACTCTGGTTATACAGTCAGTAATGTCCCATGTGATGTCAGACTCTGGTTATACAGTCAGTAATGTCCCATGTGATGTCAGACTCTGGTTATACAGTCAGTAATGTCCCATGTGATGTCAGACTCTGGTTATACAGTCAGTAATGTCCCATGTGATGTCAGACTCTGGTTATACAGTCAGTAATGTCCCATGTGATGTCAGACTCTGGTTATACAGTCAGTAATGTCCCATGTGATGTCAGACTCTGGTTATACAGTCAGTAATGTCCCATGTGATGTCAGACTCTGGTTATACAGTCAGTAATGTCCCATGTGATGTCAGGCTCTGGTTATACAGTCAGTAATGTCCCATGTGATGCCAGGCTCTGGTTATACAGTCAGTAATGCCCCATGTGATGTCAGACTTTGGTTATACAGTCAGTAATGTCCCATGTGATGTCAGACTCTGGTTATACAGTCAGTAATGTCCCATGTGATGTCAGACTCTGGTTATACAGTCAGTAATGCCCCATGTGATGTCAGGCTCTGGTTATACAGTCAGTAATGTCCCATGTGATGTCAGACTCTGGTTATACAGTCAGTAATGTCCCATGTAATGTCAGACTCTGGTTATACAGTCAGTAATGCCCCATGTGATGTCAGACTCTGGTTATACAGTCAGTAATGTCCCATGTGATGTCAGACTCTGGTTATACAGTTAGTAATGCCCCATGTGATGTCAGGCTCTGGTTATACAGTCAGTAATGTCCCATGTGATGTCAGACTCTGGTTATACAGTCAGTAATGCCCCATGTGATGTCAGACTCTGGTTATACAGTCAGTAATGCCCCATGTGATGTCAGGCTCTGGTTATACAGTCAGTAATGCCCCATGTGATGTCAGACTCTGGTTATACAGCCAGTAATGCCCCATGTGATGTCAGGCTCTGCCAGTAATGTCCCATGTGATGTCAGACTCCGGTTATACAGTCAGTAATGTCCCCCATGTGATGTCAGACTCTGGTTATACAGTCAGTAATGCCCCATGTGATGTCAGACTCTGGTTATACAGTCAGTAATGTCCCCCATGTGATGTCAGGCTCTGGTTATACAGTCAGTAATGCCCCATGTGATGTCAGGCTCTGGTTATACAGTCAGTAATGCCCCATGTGATGTCAGACTCTGGTTATACAGTCAGTAATGCCCCATGTGATGTCAGACTCTGGTTATACAGTCAGTAATGCCCCATGTGATGTCAGACTCTGGTTATACAGTCAGTAATGCCCCATGTGATGTCAGACTCTGGTTATACAGTCAGTAATGTCCCATGTGATGTCAGGCTCTGGTTATACAGTCAGTAATGCCCCATGTGATGTCAGACTCTGGTTATACAGTCAGTAATGTCCCCCATGTGATGTCAGACTCTGGTTATACAGTCAGTAATGTCCCCCATGTGATGTCAGACTCTGGTTATACAGTCACTAATGCCCCATGTGATGTCAGACTCTGGTTATACAGTCAGTAATGTCCCATGTGATGTCAGACTCTGGTTATACAGTCAGTAATGTCCCCCATGTGATGTCAGGCTCTGGTTATACAGTCAGTAATGCCCCATGTGATGTCAGGCTCTGGTTATACAGTCAGTAATGTCCCATGTGATGTCAGACTCTGGTTATACAGTCAGTAATGTCCCATGTGATGTCAGACTCTGGTTATACAGTCAGTAATGTCCCATGTGATGTCAGACTCTGGTTATACAGTCAGTAATGTCCCATGTGATGTCAGACTCTGGTTATACAGTCAGTAATGTCCCATGTGATGTCAGACTCTGGTTATACAGTCAGTAATGTCCCATGTGATGTCAGACTCTGGTTATACAGTCAGTAATGTCCCATGTGATGTCAGGCTCTGGTTATACAGTCAGTAATGCCCCCCATGTGATGTCAGACTCTGGTTATACAGTCAGTAATGTCCCATGTAATGTCAGGCTCTGGTTATACAGTCAGTAATGTCCCATGTGATGTCAGACTCTGGTTATACAGTCAGTAATGTCCCATGTAATGTCAGGCTCTGGTTATACAGTCAGTAATGTCCCATGTGATGTCAGACTCTGGTTATACAGTCAGTAATGCCCCATGTGATGTCAGACTCTGGTTATACAGTCAGTAATGCCCCATGTGATGTCAGGCTCTGGGAGGTCTGGTTGCCATGGGATATAAATTCTGTCTCCGTTGCTATGGGCAACCGATCACGCCGGACCCGGAAGTGCTGCCTGGAATCTCGCGAGACTCGTATAGCTTGTTGCTAGGAGACAGAGTTACATTGTATCAGAGGGAACGGGGCAATAACATCCAGGGGCAAACATGGTGAGTCCGGGGTATTAACTCTGGGTAATGGCGGGGGGGCAGTAAGACTGGGGTAATGGCGGGGGGCAGTAAGGCTGGGAGGGGGCAGTAGACTGGGAGTAGCCGGGAGGGCAGTAAGGCTGGAGTAATAGCAGAGGCAGTAAGACTGGGAGTAATGGCCAGGGGCAGTAAGGCTGGGGGTAATGGCAGGGGGCAGTAAGACTGGGAATGTGAGGGGCAGTAAGGCTATAATGGCAGGGGCAGTAAGACTGGGAGTGGCAGGGGGCAGTAAGGCTGGGAGGGTAAGCAGCAGAGACATTAAGGCTGCTGAGAATGTGTGGGGGCAAGTAAGACTGGGGTATGTGAGACAGTAAGACTAGAGTAACTCAGCAGGGGCAGTGGAGCTGGGAGTAATGGCAGGGGGCAGTAGGGCTGGAAATATGTGGCAGGGGCAGTAAGGCTGGGAGGTGTGGCAGGGGCCAGTAAGGCTGAGGGTAATGGCAGGGAGACAGTAAAGGCTGGGAGGCAATGGCAGGGGGCAGTAGGCTGGGGAGGTAATGGCGGGGGGCAGTGGAACTGGGGTAATGGCAGGGGGCCATGGAGGCTGGGGTAATGGCAGGGGCAGTGGAGCTAAGGGTGTGTGAGGGGGCAGTAAGGTGGGGAGGTAGCAAAGGGGCAGTAAGACTGGGGGTAATGGGGGGCAGTACTGGGGCTCAGGGCAGTAGGGCTGGGGTAATGGCAGGGGCAGTAGGCTAAGAGTGGCAGGGGGGCAGTAAAACAGGGTAATGGCAGGAGACGATAAGACTGGGGTCATGGCAGGGGGCAGAGTAAGACACTAAGGGTCATGTGGGGGCAGGCTAGATAATGGCAGGGGCAGTAAGACTGGGGTAATGGCGGGGGTCAGTAAGGCTGGGGTAATGGCAGGGGGCAGTAAGACTGGGGTAATGGCAAGGGGGGCAGTAAGACTGGGGTAAACATTTTCTGTCTGCTAAATGCCCCAATTCTGTCTCTGTATCAGCCTGGTCTGTCTTTTTAATTCAGTTTACAATCTCCTTCTATTCCCTTCATTTCAAGTGCCCAAATAAAAAAAATAGTGTCCCTGCTGTGTTGTGTCTTGTGTTTGGGCTGGTCCAGGTCCAGGGATCAAACTGATCACATTAAAAAAGTGTAAGCGGTAATCTCCTGACAACCCTCTTATCAGTCCACCCCTGGGATCTGTCTAAAGTAGTTGTACTTTCTATTTTTCTCACCTGTCCTGTGCTGACTACCAAAAAAATAAGATAAATCTCTGGATTTACAAATAATAATAAACCATCAAGGTTACTTATGTGTCAATTTTAGGGAATTGAAAGTGATGGTTTATGTGTCATTATGTTTCCATAACACATTGGACAATTTGAGGAGACCACCAGATTGCGAGTTAGCCATTGGCAACCTGTAGCAGTTTGTGGCTGATTGTGGCTGATTGAAGGCGAGGCAAGCGATGCCTATCTCAAATATTTTATCATTTCTCTACAAGTCACTGGGCGCTGAATTATCAAAACTAAATCCCTGTTGTTATCATCACACAGAATGCAGACTCTCCATTGTATTATATATGTGTATAACACTTGGTGTTGTGTTTGCATTCTCTCCCTTAGCCACCCAAAAAGGCAAAAGGGGGGAAGAAAAAGAAATCTGCAAAGGGAAAGAAGAGCCCCGGGTTGGTAGATGGAGTGGCTCCCCAGGAAATGAGCAAAGAGCAGGTAAGTGGCTGCTTTGTGGATGATCACCGTTGCTGTGTTTTACGTTATTAATGGAGTTGCACTTTAAATGTGGAGAGAGTAATATGTAAAAATAAAATATTTATATATCTCTGTATTCACAAGGAAATTGCTAATTCTAGCCGCAAACTCTGACATGGGTAACTAGCTGAGTTTAATTTTACAGTATGACTTTTTTTTGGCCAAAGTTTGCAGTTTCTTAGTTAATTTTCCACTGACTGTTGGTTCACTAGGTTCTGCTGTTAATATCCATAAAAGTAATTTAACACATTTTTAAAAAATTATTTATTGCAGCAATTCTGATTTCAGTTACCATCAACCTCAGTGTTTGTATTGTATTGTTTCATATGATGTGGTTATAATGCTTTCTATAAGTATTTCATGTGTTACTTGTTTCCTAGCTCAATAGCTTTGCCCTTAGGGAACTTGCAAAATGGTTTCTCTCCATAATTCCAGTGCAGTAATCCGCTGTCTCTGCTCCACTTACCAGCTCGAGGAGCACATTGTCCGTCTGCGGGAAGAACTTGACCGGGAAAGGGAGGAACGAAACTACTTTCAGCTGGAGCGAGACAAGATCCACACGTTCTGGGAGATTACCAGGCGCCAGTTGGATGAGAAGAAGTCAGAACTGCGCAACAAGGACCGCGAGATGGAGCAAGCAGAGGAGAGGCATCAGGTGGAGATAAAGGTGGGTAATCCGACCAACACATAGTAAAAAAAATAAACCTTTTATCTGAAGTGAAAACACTCTGACAGAGCTTCTCTTGTATTCTTTTCTGGACAAAAGTTATTCTTTAAAACCAACCCGTAAAGATTAACGTAGACAGAGATTGTGCTTTTATTTATTTTTTGTCCCAAACCCCGCTGCTGGTATAATAAAAATATAGAGACAAAATTAATAAACTGCTAAACCATTAAAGGTTTATAATCTGCTCTCATCTCTCCAATCAACTGTTAGCTCACCCATATTGAAGGCTACAAGCACTCCACTGTCCTGTGTCTGACAGGCATACGCTGTCAGGACTGTCAGCAGTTGTCTCTCCTGTAGTAATCAGAAAGTTACACAGATTGGATGTATTAGTGAAGTAGTTTATAGTTTACTAACTGGGGGCTTTGATCAGTGCTCCAATCCTGTACCCAGGATGGTTTACTAACTGGGGGCCTTGATCAGTGCTCCAATCCTGTACCCGGGATGGTTTACTAACTGGGGGCCTTGATCAGTGCTCCCATCCTGTACCCGGATGGTTTATTAACCGGGGGCTTTGATCAGTGCTCCCATCCTGTACCCGGGATTGTTTATTAACTGGGGGCCTTGATCAGTGCTCCCATCCTGTACCCGGGATGGTTTATTAACTGGGGGCTTTGATCAGTGTTCTTATCCTGAACCCGGGATGGTTTATTAACTGGGGGCTTTGATCAGTGCTCCCATCCTGTACCCGGGATGGTTTATTAACTGGGGGCCTTGATCAGTGCTCCCATCCTGTACCCGGGATGGTTTATTAACTGGGGGCTTTGATCAGTGCTCCCATCCTGTACCCGGGATGGTTTATTAACCGGGGACCTTGATCAGTGCTCCAATCCTGTACCCGAGATGGTTTATTAACTGGGGGCTTTGATCAGTGCTCCAATCCTGTACCCGGGATGGTTTACTAACTGGGGGCCTTGATCAGTGCTCCCATCCTGTACCCGGGATGGTTTATTAACTGGGGGCCTTGATCAGTGCTCCAATCCTGTACCCGGGATGGTTTATTAACTGGGGGCTTTGATCAGTGCTCCCATCCTGTACCCGGGATGGTTTATTAAACGGGGGGCTTTGATCAGTGCTCCCATCCTGTACCCGGGATGGTTTATTAACCGGGGGCCTTGATCAGTGCTCCAATCCTGTACCCGGGATGGTTTATTAACTGGGGGCTTTGATCAGTGCTCCAATCCTGTACCCAGGATGGTTTAATAACTGGGGGCCTTGATCAGTGCTCCCATCCTGTACCCGGGATGGTTTATTAACCGGGGGCCTTGATCAGTGCTCCAATCCTGTACCCGGGATGGTTTATTAACTGGGGGCTTTGATCAGTGCTCCCATCCTGTTCCCGGGCTGGATTATTAACGGGGGGCTTTGATCAGTGCTCCCATCCTGTACCCGAGATGGTTTATTAACTGGGGGCTTTGATCAGTGCTCCCATCCTGTATCCGGGATGGTTTATTAACTTGGGGCTTTGATCAGTGTTCATGTTCTGGTGACTTTGATCAATGTTCATATCCTGTACTCGGGACAGTTTATTAACTGGAGGCTTTGGTTGGTATTCTCAATTGTTTCTGGGCTGATCTAGGTTTACAAGCAGAAAGTGAAGCACCTCTTGTATGAGCACCAGAATAACATCTCTGAGTTGAAGACTGAGGGCAGTGTGGCTATTAAACTCTCCCAGATGGAGCACCGCACACAGGAGAGCGTCCTGCGGAAGGACATGCGAGGGATGTGGGTGGAAATCAAAGAGCAGGAGCTGGCCAATGAGATGATGGTCAAGAACCTCAAGCTGGTGAGTAAAGATGCAGAGTTCTTCCTGCCCCGTCTCTCCCTTACTTGGGACCGGTTGTGTGGTTTTTCTCGAGGTTTGATTCAGGCATACATCTGCATGCAGAGTTTCAGGGTAACTCTGCAGGCTCAGCAAGCAGGATAGTGGCACTCTAAGAACATTGGTGGGAGAGAAATTACACGCAAACATTTGGGGGGACAGTAAGTAGGACATGCCGTATGATCGGGGGAGTAAGATGCATTAAGTATGTTGGAAAGGGGAAGGGGTCTGTACTCTTGCCATATTGGGTGGGGGGGGGGTGGCATTTCACAATTTAATGAATAACCTGTTTGCATGGAATTGTCAGGAATTTAAGGTGAACAAAAAATTATTCTCAAATTCATGACTTTTTAAGTGAACGTATGACAGCCTTAAATGTTTCTAAAGTGGCTTTTTTTTCTGTTCTAAAATTTGAAATTCGTTCTGAATTCCCAACACTTCATACTGTAGTGAATAACCCTCACGGTATCTCAGAAATTCACAAGGCCAGACTGATAAATAATAATCTGAATACAAACCCAATCATTTTGTGGATTCACGTTTAGACGTTCTGTAACTCTACACGCCCCCTCTACCCCTAAATACGTTTCAAACCGGCAAGCCTGGGCTTTCTTAAATCTTGCAGATCTACTCCATGGCCTGACAACAACAAAATAACATAAAATTACTGCACTGCTAGAGTTTCACTATTGCTGCTTGGACCACATATTAACCATTTGGTTGCCCATTCACTAGTCCTTGCCCTCTAAGCTGGTTTTATCCCTCTGCTCCCAGCATGATTTTCATCATCGATTCATTTATTTCACTTTAAACAGAAACAAGATGAAGGAATCACACGTTTGAGAAGTGACTTTGAGAGACAAGTTCGAGGTAAATTTAGAATTTTCTCTCAAGAAGATTATGCAGAAACTAACGAGGTAAAATAATAATAATAATAAGGCAACAAAATCTTACAATACAACATGGAACCTGACAAGTATTGTGCGGCTGGTTTATTAGAACTCTCTTTTTGAAACCTAATACTGTTTTCTGGGTGTGACTGCATGTTTTGTTTTCGTTTTCATTTATCTCTTTATTCCTGTAACCCAGATATTGAGACCAAGTACGAAAAGAAAATGCACGTTTTACGAGAGGAACTTGAGCTGCGCAGAAAGACGGAGATCCACGAGATTGAAGAACGGAAAAACGGACAAATCAACACCTTAATGAAAAACCATGAAAAGGCATTCAGTGACATCAAAAACTACTACAATGACATCACCCTCAATAATCTCGCACTCATTAACTCTCTGAAGGTAATGAGCCATGGGAATAAGCTTTCAGGTGCAGTACTAGGCTACCTGCTGGCTCCTTCAATGCATGCTTTATTGTCAAATTGGTGATAACGTCTAATTGTGTGTGTTGGCATGATCTCTTCCTCTGACAGGAACAAATGGAAGATATGAAAAAGAAGGAAGATCGTCTAGAGAAAGAAATGGCTGATCTGCAACTACAGAACCGTCGCCTTACTGAACCACTGCAGAAAGCTCGCGAAGAGGTGGCCGAGCTCCACAAAAAACTGGCCAGTTATGAAAAAGACAAGACAACTTTAGCTGTGAGCATTGTTCTACTAGAGTCTAGGCTACAGTGCAGCTAACGTGTGTGGGAGCCTGGAGTGTCCCTTTAATAATATAAACCCACCCAGTATAACTAACTGTAACCTAACCTACACAGTGCACCTAACGTGTGGGGGAGCCTGGAGTGTCCCTTTAATAATATAAACCCACCCATTATAACAAACTGTATCCTAACATACACAGTGCACCTAACGTGTGTGGGAGCCTGGAGTGTCCCTGTAATAATATAAACCCACCCAGTAAAACTAACTGTAACCTAACCTACACAGTGCATCTAACCTGTGTGGGAGCCTGGAGTGTCCCTTTAATAATATAAACCCACCCAGTATAACTAACTGTAACCTAACCTACACAGTGCATCTAACGTGTGTGGGAGCCTGGAGTGTCCCTTTAATAATATAAACCCACCCAGTATAACTAACTGTAACCTAACCTACACAGTGCATCTAACGTGTGTGGGAGCCTGGAGTGTCCCTTTAATAATATAAACCCACCCAGTATAACTAACTGTAACCTAACCTACACAGTGCCCCCTGAATGGTAAGGCTTGAAGGTGAACTGTTCCATAAACACAATCTGTGTTTAGTAGAGGAAGCACTTGCTGTCACTGTATTTGCTGTATTATTCTGTATCAATGTTATGATTAATTATCCGAGATATAATTTGACAGTCCCAGAACATGGGGTGCAGATTGCTGGTACCCCTTTATCACATGCCAACGTTTCTTTCTGCAGAGTACCAAAGCACGGCTAAAACAAACTGAGAAAGAACTGGCAGACCTTAAATGGGAGCACGAGGTGTTAGAACAGCGGTTTGAGAAGGTGGGTGACTATACCTTATCAGACAGGTAACCGCCTAATAATTAAAACCCATTTATTTGTGTTGCTTTACATTATTTAGTTATTACATTCCGTTCATGTTTATTACTTAAACCATTTGCTGGCTGCCTGCGGACGAATATTGAGGATTTCTGCGGTTTACCTGTAAAAAAACAGTTTTTATGAATTTAGCAAATCCACCCTCTATCAGATTGGTTCTGTTTAAATCCAATGGAGAACATGGTAATTCTATTTTTTTAATAAATATGTCACTCCTATATTTTTACAGGGTTTGCATGTAAATGTATTGATTTAAGGCAGTTACTGAATGAAATGTTTTCTTGAATGAGCCAAATTTAAATTGGTTTAGTAGTAGGAGAATTACAAATAAGGGTGTAATGATTTTTTTGGCTTTCCCATATACTGCTTGCTATGTCACCACCGGGGACTGGTTGTGATCTAGGTGTAGAATTAGAAGCATCTCTCCAGGGTTGCGGATGTTACACACGATCGTTTATTATGTCTAGTTATTTTACCCTAATCTGTATATTTTTTTTCTTGCATGCTACAATAGATAATTGTGTTTTAAACACTCAAATCCTACTCTTACCATGCTCAGCCAGCCATTCTGAAGCAGCTGTGTAACTTGAGCTTATTTGTGATTTTTCAAACTTGGCCTGTCCGTGTCCAAGCATTTTACATAGAGATCCAGGACATTTAAGCTTGTTTCATTAGCTTCCTAGATCCAGGTGAACACGAATAACTTTGTCCTTTGCATAGTTACAAGTTGAACGGGACGAACTGTATCGAAAATTCACCACCGCCATACATGAAGTTCAGCAAAAGAATGGCTTCAAGAACCTGCTACTGGAACGAAAATTGTCAGCGCTCGGAGACATGCTGGAGAAGAAAGAGGCACAGCTTAATGAGGTTCTAGCAGCCTCGAATCTCGACCCGACAGCACTAACAGCCGTCACCCGCAAGCTGGAGGTATGGACACTTTTTTTTTTTTTTTAATATAAATCAAAGTTTTTTTTTGTTTTTTTTTTGAGTTTTCATAATAGATACATGACAATCAATAACACAGAATGTACTCAAGAATAATTGATAGTGAGTGAATATAAACGGAGGCTTGGAGGTCAGGTATGGACACTTCTAATTACTCTGCTGCTGATGAAGCTAGAAGCTGAAGGGAGGATGTGAGCTGCAGCAGGTTAAGGATTACTTCAACCTCCATGACCGCTTTGAAGTTGTTATGGTGGTAACCATATGTCAGTTCTTTGTACATCTGTCAGTATGTACTACACGCTGCGGACAGACGTGAGAATCTTTCCCTTGCAGGCAGTGCGTCTGCAAGACGAAGCTAGCGGTATTCAGCGCCAGGAGCTTGACCCGGCGCTGAATTCCAGGCGAGTAAAAAATAAATAAATGTATAAATCTTTCATCTCCCCTAACTTTTAGAGTAATCTGAGCAGGGGGACCTCCTCCATGGTTTTCCTGGCTCCAAAGGGTTAAAGTAACCCTTTAAAGAGTAACATGGGGGTCTACTGCAAGGGGTCAAATTATCCTCTTCACTTATGTACATCTAGTTATTGTTTTCCTAAATGAGATCTATGGGAGATGCTAAAATCAGTGTATCTATAAGGAGATGCTGATGCTCACTGGCCCCCCAATGCTTCCCTATGGGAATTGCCTGAGATAATCAGTATTGCTCTACAGTTGAGAAGTGGTGGCAGGAGTGCAAATGGCTTACTGGTGGACTAAAGATAATTTTTTAAAAAGCTTTATTTCTATTAAAGGGCACTCTAAGCACCAAACAACTGTTAATGAAGCAGTTTTGGTGTATAGATTATGCCCCTGCAGCCCTAGCCACACCTCCCCTGACTGGGAGTCACACAGTCTCTCTACACACTTCCTGTAAGATTGATTCATCAAACTAAACTTGTATTTGTGCTTAGAGTGTCCCTTTAATTAAGGAGGGGGGGTGGGGGGGGAGAGACAGATATCTATGTAGTTTGTATTACATACTATTGTGTTCCTGTAATGCCTTTCTTTGTTTTGTTAGTGTGTGCGTCCCTGAATATAGGACACTTCTTTGTAGTGTTAATTCACAAATAGCACATCTTACTATATTCGATATAATGGCCATAGATATTTATTGTAAAAAGATTCTGGTATTTTTAGTTGTTCATCGAAATTCTTTTCAACTAAAAATGGTGGTCATTACAAATTTACAAAGTAGCAAAAACTAATATGTAGTAGTTATGGTGCGAAGAGTTCTCTTTAAAATGATGATTTTAATTTCTTTAGAATCCCACAGTATACACAGAATTTATTTGGTTTTTTCCCCCCCTCTCCCATAGGATGTCCTGGATTCGAAGAACAGCGCTATTAAGGATTTGCAGTATGAACTGGCCAGAGTGTGCAAGGTGAGAGTCTTATCATGGAATTCAAATCGCTTCCAGTAATGTGGAAATGTTTTAACTGAGCACAAGCACTGTTATTAACTACAGTATGAATCTCGCATTATAGGACACAATGTCTGAAAGTGGGAATATTATCCGTTTCCTGCTCAGCTATTTTAGATTTCCAGCAATACATACTATAGTTACTAACTCTGAATGAGTTGTAATTGACGATTTTGCAGAGATGTGGCTGTAAGCCCACCAGCTCACTGAGAGCCAGAACTGGAAGAAACCGTGCTCCCAGCAGCTCATAGAATTACAGAGCAACTGAATATTGCTCATAAATGACGAGGACTGGCAGTTCCTCTCACTTAAAGGATAATACCAAATATTTAAAGGAACACTATAGTCACCAGAACAACTACAGCTTTTTGTATTTGTTCTCGTGAGTAGAATCATTCCCTTCAGGCTTTTTGCTGTAAGCACTGTCTTTTAAGAAAAAATGCATTGTTTACATTAGAGCCTTAGGTATACCTCCACTCTTCACTCCTCAGATGGCTACTAGAGGTGCTTCCTGGGGCAGTGCTGCACCGTGTGACTGACATTCACTGTATCCACCTTCTGCATGCAGACACTGAACTTTCCTCATGGAGATGCATTGATTCAATGTATCTCTATGAGGAAACGCTGATTGGCCAGGGCTGTGTTTGACTTGTGCTGGCTCTGCCCCAATCTGCCTCCTTGACAAGCTCCACCAATCCAATGGTTTCTTATAAGAAAACATTATGATTGGCTCACATTAACACTTCTGATGATGTCAGCCAAGCAGGCAGATCAGGGGCAGAGCCAGCAGCAGCAGACTGAAATATATGTTAAAGTTTGCTATATTTTGTGTGTATTTGGGTGTAAGCAGGGCTAGATGGTGGTTTTAACACTATAGGGTCAGATATACATGTTTGTGTTCCGGACCCTATAGTGTTCCTTTAACTATAAGCAGCCAATAACATAACCGGCTAATACTGCTACTTTAAAAATAAATAAATTATAGTTGCTCAAGGTTGTAATCCCCATCATTTTATGAAGGAATCAAATTGTCTGAGGCTGGTGCAGACTGTAACAGTCAAGGTGAGCTTTGTGAATGTTCCATAAACTGCAGTTTCTATGGGAAATGTAGTCCAGCTGTGGGATCACCAGATTTGACAGAGGTTTATGTGTGTGTGTGTGTGTGTGTGTGTGTGTGTGTGTGTGTGGAGGGGCAGGGGATTCTCAGAGTGTTAAACATGCATGCAGTTCCCATGTAACATACCTATGCATACGCTTTTTCTTTCAAGTCTCACAATGACCTGCTGCGGACGTACGAGGCAAAGATGCGTGCTTTTGGCATTCCTGCAGATGAATTAGGATTTAAACCCCTGGAAAGCCTAGTCCCTGGACAGACATTTGGGCAGGGTCCTGCTGGATTGGTAGCAGCCACAACATAAAGTTGCAGTAAAAATGCTGCCTGTGTAAAAAAAAAAAAAAAAAGTCTTGAAAAATCAAAGCAAATCCTGTGTAATATGCCTCTGTGTCTTAAAAGTAACCTGGATCTCTGGAATGTGACAGACATTCTTTCCATTCAAACCAGGGATGGGCAGCTGTTACCCCCCACAGCATCAAAGGAAGGTTAATTCAAACTCTTTGCAAAACAAAAAACAAATCTATATTTTCTATAACCCAGACCGTTTCCATATTACTTTGAAATATATATATATAAAAAAAAAAAAAGCGTAAGCTCACTTGTGGTCTTTTTGTCAATTTTATTGAAAGGCCACTTATTGCTGTATTACATCTCCCATCAATCTAGAAGAGTAGTGGAGGCCTATTTTGGTACCAGGTGTAGGAAGCATTGAGATTTGATGCCAACGCGTTCTTACAAGGCCGTGCGCAGTAATGCCAGTAACGAGAAGAGTAATGTTTAGTTTGAAGTAAATAAGAGAAATTAAAAACAGCCAGTCACAAATTGTCATTGTTTGTATAAGCTATATAATCAAGCTACTTCTTGCCCAAACCAGTTTTTGAATAATAAATATACTTTAAATTGTGTTAACCTGAAATCCAAATGACAATTTTTCTGCCAAAGAGGAAACTGGGAAAGTTTTTTTTACAAAGTTAACAATGTTTTTAGTTTTGCTGTTTTGTCCCCACTACGGACACATTAGTGAATTGCTCAAACAGCAATCATTATACCTGTTTTTTTCTACTTATGTCTGAATGAGCATCATGCGAAATGTGATTCAAACATCTGGGGAGCCAAGGTCAACCATCAGCACCTTGACGTTTGGTTTACAGATTTGAGCTGTGGGGGTGAGAAATATTAGCATCACATTAGCTTGTCATTCTCCTCAATGCTCCGTACTTACAGACACACACAGACAGTGTACCATGGTGCAGATGCTTTATTACGATTTAATAACAACAAAGTATTTAACCAGGTTTCCAAGTACGTCCGTGCGTAAGCAATATTCTACAGGGTGTTACCATTACCCAATTTAAGAAGATAATGAGGTGATTGTAGACACAGAATGGTCCCTGCTGATTGGACAGAATAAGAAATCATGAAAACACACTGCATCCATGCCAGTTTCTCTAGCTCCCCCTGTAGGTGGTGTAGGAATATGGACTGAGCAACAGAGGCACGTGGTATTTCTGTTTCGGATCTGTGATGGTAAACACAATCTGTAAGGAAGATACAGAATAAAGTAAGGTCTCTGATACTCCCATTATAGAAGATCTCTCATGTCTTCCATCCAGAGTGTGGCAAAGGGGCGCAACGATCACTTCTCGTCCACATCCCTCCCTTGCCCTGAGATTCACCCCCCAGCAGTTCCTACACTGTGTTGGGAGCAGCATAATATTTACCTCTACGTAAGGGTAGAAACTCTCTTGTTGGAGCTGCTTCCAGTATTCACCAGTGTCAAATCGTAACTGATAGGTTCCTGCTGTGAGTGGCACACCGCGTAGCAACGATGGACAGCGGCCATCCTCATCAGTCACACTGTAAGAAAACCAGATCATACGGAAGGAGATAACCGGGATGGGGCAAAGCGACCGTACAAAGATCATGCAGGGACCATGCAAAGACCAGAACATGCAAAGGGCAGACAGGGACAATACTAGGCTGCACAGGGACCGTGCAAAGACGAATAGCGGGCATGGTGGAGGGGTTATTCATCAAAGTGACAAAAGTCAGGAACTGAAAATATGGTCAACTGAGAATTTCCTAAATTTTTTAATGTTTCAATGCTCATGTCATACGTGCAGGGTAGGGAGGGGTGTTTGATGTACAGGCGGGTTTATGGGTAGAATAACTGTAGTGGGGGTACAGAGGGGTTTATAGGTAGAATAACTATGGTGGCAGTACAGGGGGATTTACGGGTAGAATAACTCTGGGGGCGGTACAGGGGGTTTATGGGTAGAATAACTAGTGGCGGTACAGGGAGTTTATGGGTAGAATAACTGTAGTGGCGGTACAGGGGGTTTATGGGTAGAATAACTGTAGTGGCGGTACAGGGAGTTTATGGGTAGAATAACTGTAGTGGCGGTACAGGGAGTTTATGGGTAGAAAAACTAGTGGCTGAACAGGGAGTTTATGGGTAGAAAAACTAGTGGCGGTACAGGGGGATTTATGGGTAGAATAACTCTGTAGTGGCGGTAAAGGAGGGCTTATGGGTAGAATAACTCGTGGCGGTACAGGAGGGCTTATGGGTAGAATAACTAGTGGCGGTACAGGGGGGTTTATAGGTAGAATATGGAGGCCGTACAGGGGGCTTATGGGTAGAATAGCTAGTAGCGGTACAGGAGGGTTTATGGGTAGAATAACTGTGGTGGCAGTACAGGGGGATTTATGGGTAGAATAGTGGCGGTACAGGGGAATTTATGGGAAGAATAATTCTGTAGTGGCGGTACAGGGGGATTTATGGGTAGAATAACTATGGTGGCGGTACAGGGGGATTTATTGGTAGAATAACTATGGGGGCGGTACAGGAGGGCTTATGGGTAGAATAACTATGGGGGCGGTATAGGAGGCCTGAATAACTCTGTAGTGGTGGTACAGGGGGTTTATGGGTAGAATAGCTATACACAGTGGGGAATGGTAGTGTATCAGGGAGAAATTACACAGTAGGGCAGGGGACATACTGACTACAAATGCTGAGTGCTTACCTTCTACTGAGTTGCACCCATTTCCCCTGGGGGGTATCAAGCTTGGACAAGGTGAGGGTTAGGCCTCGGGCAGGAATTCCACTGGCTGTGTTCAGGACATGCGTTGTGAGTGAACCAGACATTTCCTAAATGAAGAGAGTGGGGACATTAGGATAACCAGTCTGATCACCTATAACTGTGCTGCTCAGCCCAGCACTGTGACCAGTCTGTCCCTGAGCCAGGCCCGAGTCCGTCTGTGCCTGCGTCCATCTATTGCCCCTTCGCTAACCCTGCGTCCATCTATTGCCCCTTCGCCAGACCTGTGTCCATCTATTGCCCCTTCACTAACCCTGCGTCCATCACTTTAATCCTCTACCAGGTTGAACATGGTGTGCAAACATGGAATACACAATGCAGCTCAACCAGAGATACAGTCACATCATGCTGCTGGGCACGGTGCTGGGCAGTGGTGCCTTCTAGAAAGTAGTAATCCTATGCTACAGGAAGCAGATCATTAAATGGAGGCAGTCCCAGCAGCAATGTACTATATAACCTACAGGACAGCACTTTTCATGCCCTGTCCCTCAATATGAAGTGCATGATACAGGAGAGGTGGGTCTGCCAACCCTAAACCATCTATTCCAGTAACTGCACTGCTCTGACAGTGTGCATCCAGTATGTCAACGCCAAACACACTACTGTGGCAGTGCTGTGAGAGAACATTGCTCTGCACACCTTACACCATGCTTCCAATCCGCTCTACACTGCATTCCCCGCACCATGCTTCCAAACAGCTCTGCGCTGCATTCCCCGCACAATGCTTCCAAACAGCTTTGCGCTGCATTCCCCGCACCATGCTTCCAAACAGCTCTGCGCTGCATTCCCCGCACCATGCTTCCAAACCGCTCTGCGCTGCATTCCCTGCACCATTCCTCCAAATTGCTCTGCACTGCATTCCCTGCACCATGCTTCCAAACTGCTCTGCACTCCCTGCACCATGCTTCTAAACCGCTCTGCACTGCATTTCCTGCACCATGCTTCCAAACCGCCCTGCACTGCATTTCCTGCACCATGCTTCAAACCGCTCTGCACTGCATTCCCTGCACCATGCTTCCAAACAGCTCTGCGCTGCATTCCCCGCACCATGCTTCCAAACAGCTCTGCGCTGCATTCCCCGCACCATGCTTCCAAACAGCTCTGCGCTGCATTCCCCGCACCATGCTTCCAAACAGCTCTGCGCTGCATTCCCCGCACCATGCTTCCAAACCGCTCTGCGCTGCATTCCCCGCACCATGCTTCCAAACCGCTCTGCGCTGCATTCCCCGCACCATGCTTCCAAACCGCTCTGCGCTGCATTCCCCGCACCATGCTTCCAAACCGCTCTGCGCTGCATTCCCTGCACCATTCCTCCAAATTGCTCTGCACTGCATTCCCTGCACCATGCTTCCAAACCGCTCTGCACTCCCTGCACCATGCTTCTAAACCGCTCTGCACTGCATTTCCTGCACCATGCTTCCAAACCGCTCTGCACTGCATTCCCTGCACCATTCTTCCAAATTGCTCTGCACTGCATTCCCTGCACCATGCTTCTGTCGCTCTGCGCTGCATTCCCTGCACCATGCTTCCAAACAGCTCTGCGCTGCATTCCCTGCACCATGCTTCCAAACCGCTCTGCGCTGCATTCCCCGCACCATGCTTCCAAACCGCTCTGCGCTGCATTCCCCGCACCATGCTTCCAAACCGCTCTGCGCTGCATTCCCTGCACCATTCCTCCAAATTGCTCTGCACTGCATTCCCTGCACCATGCTTCCAAACCGCTCTGCACTCCCTGCACCATGCTTCTAAACCGCTCTGCACTGCATTTCCTGTACCATGCTTCCAAACCGCTCTGCACTGCATTCCCTGCACCATGCTTCCAAATTGCTCTGCACTGCATTCCCTGCACCATGCTTCTATCGCTCTGCGCTGCATTCCCTGCACCATGCTTCCAAACAGCTCTGCGCTGCATTCCCCGCACCATGCTTCCAAACCGCTCTGCGCTGCATTCCCTGTACCATGCTTCCAAACCGCTCTGCACTGCATTCCCTGCACCATGCTTCCAAATTGCTCTGCACTGCATTCCCTGCACCATGCTTCTATCGCTCTGCGCTGCATTCCCTGCACCATGCTTCCAAACAGCTCTGCGCTGCATTCCCCGCACCAGGCTGCCAAATCGCTCTGCGCTGCATTCCCCGCACCATGCTTCCAAATCGCTCTGCGCTGCATTCCCTGCACCATTCCTCCAAACCGCTCTGCACTCCCTGCACCAGGCTTCCAAACCGCTCTGCACTGCATTCCCTGCACCAGGCTTCCAAACCGCTCTGCACTGCATTCCCCGCACCATGCTTCCAAATTGCTCTGCACTGCATTCCCCGCACCATGCTTCCAAATTGCTCTGCACTGCATTCCGTGCACCATGCTTGCCCACTGCTCTGCGTTTGCACATAGTTCTGCACCACCCTTCCAAATTGCTCTGCACACTATACCTATGCTTACAGATTGCTCTGCTGTTCCTGCTCTGTTAGCACTAAACTCCTTACACTATGCATCCACATTGCTCTGTACGACTACACCATGTTTGCACACTGTCTGCTGCTCCTGCTGTGTTTGCTCTGCTGTTCCTGCTCTGTGCTTGCTCTACTGTTCCTGCTCTGCGCTTGCTCTGCTGTTCCTGCTCTGTCTTTGCTCTGCTGTTCCTGCTCTGTCTTTGCTCTGCTGTTCCTGCTCTGCGCTTGCTCTGCTGTTCCTGCTCTGTCTTTGCTCTGCTGTTTCTGTTGTGTCTTTGCTCTGCTGTTTGTTGTGTCTTTGCTCTGCTGTTCCTGCTCTGTGTTTGCTCTGCTGTTCCTGCTCTGTGCTTGCTCTGCTGTTCCTGCTCTGCCTCGATGGTTCCTATTGCAGGCCTGACAGCACCCACCAACATCCAGGAGTCCAGCATTACTTCCTGTTATACACAGCGCTACCAGCAGGGGTCACTGTGGGGGCAGGAATACACAGACACCCATCAATCACAGCCAGAGCAGGGCTGCTGCTGTAACAGTGCTATGAAACCCATCATGTATCATGGAACACTGATAAACACACATTGCAGGGCTGTAATAAACCATGCAGGTTTCATTAACAGGACTGGCCCTTTAACATGCTGTGGCCCTTACCTGTGGCCCCTGCAGGTGCTGCTGTAAGATCTGAAGGCGACCGACCAGCATTGCAGGAACTGAGCAGATCCCCCGGCTGGACTTTAACTCTCTGCAGCTCACGTGGCCCCTGGGGGCTAGATTAACCATTAGTGCTCTGTGACTGTAGGCTGACTGTCCTCCCCCCCTCTGTCAGGACATTGACACAAAGGGCAAAAACCCAGCAACTGTGACACAAACTGCAAATCTGATTCAGCTATAATGTAACACCCAGTCTGGGGGCCTCAGGCAGGTACAGGAGAGCTGTATCACAGCTGTACAATACCTGTATCACACCTGTAACATACCTGTAATATACCTGTATCACACATCATACCTTTATCACACCTGTACAATACCTGGACCACACCCTTACAATACCTGTACAATACTTGTATCACACCTGTACAATAATACCTGTACCACACCTGTACACTACCTGTATAATAATACCTATATCACACATGTATAATACCTATATCACACCTGTAACATACCTGTAATATACCTGTATCACACATCATACCTTTATCACACCTGTACAATACCTGGATCACACCCGTACAATACCTGTATAATACCTGGATCACACCTCTATAATAATACCTGTACCACATCTGTACACTACCTGTATAATACCTATATCACACCTGTAACATACCTGTAATATACCTGTATCACACATCATACGTTTATCACACCTGTACAATACCTGTATAATGCCCCCATCACACCGCTATCACACCTCCCCACATTTTAAAATAGAGAAAGAGGACACTTTAATTTTAGGGGTGTGAGTGGGGAAGTGGTCAGAGGCGGGGCTGTTCTGAGAAATACAGCTAAAATGTAGTTTAAAAGAAGAACAATGTATCTTATTTCCACAGACTGATTTATAAAACACATTTATTGCAGTTTAAAGGCACATTTAAAGACACATTACTGGGAGTATTATTGCTGTGGAGCTCTGTTATACACTCAGACACATTACTGGGAGTATTATTGCTGTGGAGCTCTGTTATACACTCAGACACATTACTGGGAGTATTATTGCTGTGGAGCTCTGTTATACACTCAGACACATTACTGGGAGTATTATTGCTGTGGAGCTCTGTTATACACTCAGACACATTACTGGGAGTATTATTGCTGTGGAGCTCTGTTATACACTCAGACACATTACTGGGAGTATTATTGCTGTGGAGCTCTGTTATACACTCAGACACATTACTGGGAGTATTATTGCTGTGGAGCTCTGTTATACACTCAGAGGGATTTGAACCAAAAATAAGGACTGTACCTCCTAAATAGGGACACTTTGGAGGTATGGCACTGTCATTAGTGTAATAAAGCACTGTTTGTAATTTCTAAACCCTTATTTCTGTATTAATAGTGTCATGATATAGTTTAATAGTAATAATAGGTTTGTTCTGCACATACATAGCAGGTTGTTTCACAGTGTAAGGTCATTTACATACTCCAAACTCTGTTCTCACAGTGGAAGCCCCTCTAACGGCTGAGTCTGACTCGGTTCTCACAGTGGAAGCCCCTCTAACGGCTGAGTCAGACTCGGTTCTCACAGTAGAAGTGTCACGGCTCCCGGTGATTCTGCCAGCGTGGTTTCACATAAGGTAAACAACCACACCAACAGAAACCATTCATACTTACCTTGCGCCGCTGCGGTTCGGTTTTTTGTATAAGTACAAATAGGAAATTGCGATTTCAAAATATATATATTTTTAAAATGTATCAATAGTGACATTGTAACACTATTATCTGTCATAAATCTCTGAATCACACCCCACATGTACATTTTTTTTTTTAAAGTAGACAGCCCAGGGTATTCAATATGGGGTATGTCCAGTCTTTTTTAGTAGCCACTTAGTCACAAACACTGGCCAAAATTAGCGTTCATATTTGTTTGTGTGTAAAAAAAGTAAACTAAATTGAACGCTAATTTTGGCCAGTGTTTGTGACTAAGTGGCTACTAAAAAAGACTGGACATACCCCATTTGCAATACCTTTGGTTGTCTACTTTTGCAAATGGTATGCCATCATGGGGGTAATTCTCATTCCTGGGCTACCATACGCTCTCAACGTAACCAACCTGGCAATTTTCAATGTAAAAATATTTGACCCTTATATTTGACCCTGTAACTTTCAGAAATGCTATAAAATCTGTACATGGGGGGTACTGTTATACTCGGGAGACTTTGCTGAATACAAATATTAGTGTTTCAATATGGTAAAACATATCACAACAATTATATCATCAGTAAAAGTGCTGTTTGTGTGTGAAAAATGCAAAAAAAGTCCTTTTCACTGACAATATCATCGCTGTGATTTTACTGTTTTGAATCACTAATATTTGTGTTCAGCGAAGTCTCCCGATTAAAACAGTACCCCCCATGTACAGGTTTTTGGGTGTCATAGAAAGTTACAGGGTTAAATACAGTGCTAGCAAATTAAATTCTCTGGACTTTCAGCCTGGGTTGTCAAGCAGGTCCCAAAAATTGCAATCAATAAAATTACTTAATTATGTAAAAATATTACATAAATACGCACGTAGAATTTAAATATATATGCATATTTATATATTTGAAGTCTACGTGTTTATTTATAGAATTATTTATGTCATTTTGTATATGGACATATGTATATTTCGTATTATTTTTATTTATTGGTACTCTTTTTCAGGTAGGATTTTGTCACAGATCTTGTAACCACAGCCTTCTAGGGTAATGAAAGTCCAGGACACATCCAGCTCGGTTTTCAGATTTATTCAGTGAAATATATATACAGGTGTTTCAAAATGAAAAATAAACAAAACAAAAGTCTGTGCTCTCGCTTGAGCACTTACTATACACAGCAAATCCCTATCTGGAATTGGGTGGCCTTCCCACTTGCCAATTTACATAAAGTATAACTGCAAGACCATTCCTCTGGCTCTTTCTCCCTCAGTCTGCAGTCTGCTAGCTAATTGATCAGATACAGGTGAGGTGCAATTAGACATAAGTGAAACTACTAAGCAAAATAAAAGTTCTGGTCCGACTGTTACTTAGCAGCTGGTGCTATTGAAGCACTGGCCCAGCCTGCTCTCCAAGTGCTCCGCCCCAGGACCCATACCGTGGTTTGCAGAGTACCAGTGATGCATCTTGCAAACCCAACATCTCTCCCTGGGACATTTAACTCTCAAACCTCAGGCTGCTGTTCAGTAACTCAGGCCTAATGTATATGCCATCAACTACCAAACCACATTTTCTCTCACAATACACATATATATATATATATATATATATATATATATATATATATATATATATATACACACACACACATACACATACACACACACACACACACACATATATATACATACACACACACACACACTTTTATTCTAATTGTATTTTGATTATATATATATATATCTCAAAATACAGTTAGAAAAAAATTTCATATAGATATGTAATTTTTTTCATTCTTATTATTTTTACAATTTATTTACTTATTATTTGTATTTTATAATATATACATACATACACACGTGTGTAATTTAATTATAAGTGTATTTTTATATTAATATATGTATGTATATAAATATAGCACAGGTAGTCCCCCTGCAGGCAGACACTAGGACATCTATTGTGACCATGTGATCACTCTGTTAAGCGATCACATGGCCCCCGGAGTCCTAATTCGCCATGGGAAGACTGCCTGGGCTGCAGGCAGTCTCCCCACACCGGGAGCACTGCCGGGGGAACGACGGCGATTGGGTAAGTAACGATTACTTCAGGACCGTCACCGGTTGTCAACGGTAAAATACCGATGACGGTCCTGAACCGTCACTGGTCGCAAAGAGGTTAATGTGACCTGTATCTGTATATAACCTATGTTTCAGTTATACCGTGACATTTTAAGAAAAGTTTTGGTAATGGGACTGAAATGATGAATGTATGCTGTTGCACAACTGTAAAAAAACAAATTACATTATATTGTTGATTTTGAAGTCCTATGAGTGTGTTCTTCATTTTTCAAACTTCATTGGAAGGCTATTGTGCATGCGTGGCAAAACGCTGTGCGGCCAATCAGCATCTCCATGAGGATCGTTCAGCGCCTCCACGCAGACCCAATCTAATACACTGCCCCTCCCCCCACCTTAATACACTGCCCACAAATCCAATACACTGTCGTCGTCCCCACTCTAATACACTGCCCCCTCCCCCATTCTAATACACTGCCCATAAATCCAATACACTGTCCCCCCCCACTATAATACACTGCCCCTTAATCTAATACAGCATGCAGCGCCTCCATGCAGACCCAATCTAATACACTGCCCCCTCCCCCCACCTTAATACACTGCCCCCTCCCCAGGGGCGTACCTAGAGCATTTGGCACCCGGGGCGGATCCTGTACTTGTAAAAAATGTTAAAGGTTTTCTCTCTCTTTTTTTTTTTAACAATTTGTAAACTTTGCAAAACCGCTGTCAGCCCCTCCTACAAAACCCTTGTCCTGCCCAGCCCCTCCTACAAAACCTCTGTCCTGCCCCTTCTACAAATCCTGTACTGCCCCGCCTACAAAACCCCCGCAACCCCCTTCCACAAATCCCCTGCTTATCCCCCCTTATAAAGACTCCTGTCCCAATACAAAACCCCCGCCCCCTTCTACAAAATCCCTGCAGCCCCACACACATTTACAGGCAGACAGTCACACACTCACTTACAGGCAGACAGTCACACACTCACTTACAGGCAGACAGTCACACACTCACTTACAGGCAGACAGTCACACATACACATTTCCTCCGTGCAGCCAGTTTATCAGCTGTTTGCTTGTGTGAGCTGTACTGGCGGCACGTCACCCTAACTACCATGGGACACTGTGCGGCCACAGCTCACACAGCCCCCTCCAGCCACGGCCGGTACAAGGATTTTTGCCGCCCTAGGCAAAAGTAAAGTTTGCCGCCCCCCATGTGACATCACAATGCCCCACCCATATGATTTGCCATGTTAACTAACGCCAGTGCTGCAGTGCCGCCGTGTTTACATTAAAAGGCCTGCAGGGACAGGATATAGACACCAGAACCACTACATTAAGCTGAAGTGGTTCTGGGGACTATAGGGTTTCTTTAATGTGAGGTAAATTAGAGCTTAGTGCCACGAATAATATACTAGATTGCCTACTTACAACCAGATGAGGATAATGATGGGCTCTAGCTGCAGTCTGGCTCCACTGGTCTGGTGTAGAACAGGCTCTCTGGAGGCGGTTTGTAACTGTGGTCACAAAAATCAATGTTCTGGGAGAACGGGAAGCAGCTCCATTTTTTGGGGGCCCTTTACACAGCTCAAGGTCTGGGTCCCAGGGTCCACCTTCATGTTCCACCAATGAGTTTGTTCACAGGGGGTGGAGTGTGTAGGGGATGTCCTGATATGTGTGTAAGGAATGCATTGTGTGAATTGTGTTTGTATGTGTAAGGGCTGCAAGGTGTGTTTCTGTGTATGTATGGGATGCATTGAATGTGTGTAAGGGGTGCATTGAGTGTGTGTAATGAATGCATTGTGTGTTTCTGTGTGTGTAAGGGATGCATTGTGTGTAACAGTTGCATTGCTTGTGTGTGTGTGTCTGTGTGTGTAATGCATTGTGTTTTTCTCCGTGCAAGGGGTGCATTGTGTGTATGTGATGAATGTCAATCTCTCCTCCTCCCAATTTCTCTCTCACCCCCCCCCTCCTAATTTCTCTTTCTCCCCTCCCCCCTACCTCCCTGTAGCGTGGCCGAGCCCTGTATAGTCCGCGGGTACAGGGAGCATCTGTTTCCTGTACCCGGCCGGACTAACAGGAAGTGCACTGAGTGTGCACTTCCTGTAGTCGATCTTGCTAACCTCCCAACACCAGCGGTCTCCCTATAACTGAAAGGGAGTGACAGGAGGGAGCGCTGAGCACTTCCCTCCTGTCAGCCCCTCTCCTCAGGCTGCGCCCGCCCGGGCAAAGCTGCAGCCGCCTGAGGCTCTCTACAGAGCGCTCGGGCGGCTGCAGCATGGCACCCCCCACCCTGCTGGCACCCGGGGCGGACCGCCCCCCCGCAGTATGCCACTGCCCCTCCCCCATTTTAATACACTGCCCATAAATCCAATACACTGTCACCCCCCACTATAATACACTGCCCCTTAATCTAATACAGCATTCAGCGCCTCCATGCAGACCCAATCTAATATACTGCCCCCTCCCCCCACCTTAATACGCTGCCCCCTCCCTATTTTAATACACTGCCCCTCCCCATTTTTAATACCACACTGCCCATAAATCAATACACTGCCCCCTCCCTCCCACTCTAATACACTGCCCCCCCCTCCACTCAACTCTAATACACTGCCCCCCCCTCCCACTCACTCTAATACACTGCCCCTCCTGTTCACAATACACTTGCCCCTCCCCTCATTCTAATACACTGCCCCCCTCCCTCCATTCTAATACACACTGCCCCTCCCCATTCTAATACACTGCCCCCTCCCCATTCTAATACACTGCCCCCTCCCCCACATTCTAATACACTGCCCATAAATCAATACACTGCCCCTCCCATTCTAATACACTGCCCCTTAATCTAATACAGCGTTCAGCGCCTCCATGTAGACCCAATCTAATACACTGCCCCCTCCCCCATTCTAATACACTGCCCATAAATCCAATACACTGCCCCCCTCCCTCCATTCTAATACACTGCCCCTTAATCTAATACAGCATTCAGCGCCTCCATGTAGACCCAATCTAATACACTGCCCCCTCCCCCCATTTTAATACATTTCCCACAAATCCAATACACTGCCCCTTAATCTAATACACTGCCCCAAATCCAAAACACTGACCCCCTCCCTCCACTCTTATACACTTCCCCCTCCACCCAATCAAATACACTGGCCCCTCTCCCTCCACTGTAATTGAATACACTGTTTCCACTCCCCCAATTAAATACACTGCCCTCTACTTCACCCAATTTAATACACTGCCCCCCTTTCACTACTCTAATACACTGCATCTTCCTTCCCCCAATTTAACACACTACCATTCATTGCTTCACCACTCTAACACATTGCCCCTCCTTCCCCCAACTTAATACACTGGCCCCCCTCCCTCCTCCAAATTAATATGCGAGCCCCTAGCTCCTCCAAATTAATACGCAGGCCCCTAGCTCATTCAAATTTAATACACTACACAGGAAGGTCTCCCAAACCCCTCTTCTCCTACCTTAAGATGAGACGCCCGTCCTCCAGTTCCAGCCCTGCTCAAGCAGACCAGTTGCTCCTCTGGCACTGCGAGCAGGAGGGAAGGAGGAGTGGCTGACAGACAGCTACTCTGCGCTCTTGTGGCCACGGGAGCACACAATCAGCTGTGAATCAGACAGTTAAGATCTTTCCTGTCTTGCAGCTGGTTGCAGCCTCAGCACAAAGCACAATTGACTCCAGTCTACGTAGAGCACTGCTCCATGTGGGCTACGACTAGTTCAGATGATTTGGGGGACGGTTGAGGTGACAACTCCCCTATACACCGGCGCTGTGGAATGGACAGAGGTAGATTAGGTGTGGAGAGGCTGCAACGCACCCCCTGCTCGGGGGGCACCTCATGTGGCAACAGCTGTGAGTAACTTCATACGGATTGATAGGGATATATGTATCGAGAGGTTAGCTGGTTTTTAATCACTTTTGTTTGCACCATGATGTTTGAGTTATGGTTTCATTTGTCTTTTTTGACTAAGACTAAGTTCGGAAGAGCGGTTTAGGGTAAGCACTAGTGGATCATCCACGGTGCTGAGGTATTCATAGGGTAAGATTTACAGAGAGCCAGGTTGATATTAGTGGGACTTTAGACCCTCTAACCTCAGCTTTCCTTGTTTTACCTCATCTTTACCCTTCTGCCCCAAAGTTTATTTTTGTCCTGGTGTGCAAATCTGAGATACCTGTAGCTATTCAGACATTTGATACTGAATGTGCTCCTACCGTGGGACATCTTTGCTTTTTACCTATGAGAATTAGTTTGTCTCTTCCCTTGTAGGTCTATATTAGTCACTGCATTCCCTAGAATTATTAAAAGGTAGGACTTCCTCCCGTATGTTTTTTGGTGGTTCTCCTATTTAGGTCACCCTCTTATTGAGGGTTCCCGATTATTGTATATTTGTACTTATTTGAGAGTTATTCCCTCCTTCCAGGAGTTCGACTGTAGGCACCTTTCAGAGAATATCCACTAGCCCCTGATATTATCGCCGGCTTTCGGATTATTTTCTTATTTTGGACCCTTTTCTCATATAAATAGATAGATATAGAGATTATTACATATAGATTTAGATTATTGTTACACACATTTGTCTCTGTTTTGGTTGTCCACATTTCCCAAAGAATGAACCGTGTAAGTGGGTCAGAATGTCTTACTTTAGTGTCGGTCACTGTGATCACAGCTTTAGCAGTTGCGTAGAGTCCTTTACCTTCTTGATCTGCAGCCTTTATGGTCAGCGTGTATTCTGGGACAGTCTGTAAAAAAAGATGTGGAAAATATAAGGTATTTAATGTGTGGTGTGGCAGAACGGTATGCAGTCAGTAGGAGAGAGAGAGAGGGAGAGAATGTGTTTTTAATTAAGGACTTTACAAACCCCTCTGTCTAAGCCGTTTGAATTCACGGTGATCTGGCCAGTTTGTTCATTGATTGTGAACATTGGGACACTGGGTTCTTTGGGATCCTGGCCGATTATAGAATAAGAAACAATCCCATTGTTGGTTTCTTTGACATCATCAGCGTCCATGGCGGTTATGAGCATTACAGGAGTACCTTAAAATGAATAAAACACAAAGTGCAGGAGGCGGTCTCAGTGATTTCTGTCCAGGAATTACATGTCCAGGCTCATTGTAATACATACCTGGCCTCGACCCCTCTTGGACGCTGCCTCTAAATACCGGCTCTGTGAATTGAGGCTTGTTATCATTCTGATCCGAAACTTTAATAATAATCTCCATTGGCTCCTTCACGGAATCTCCATAGTATGACGCTGCGTGCACAAACAGCTAAAAAGACTATTACAAAACGTAATGCAGGACGGCACATAAGATAGCAGTCTTTTTTTTTTCTTTTCTGGCCATTTCTAGTAATAACCATTTTTTTAGAATTTTCTAGAGAGAGAGTTTTGCGAGTTCCTCCCTTTATCAAGTCTAAAGCATTTCTGACCTTAATGAAACGAGCAATTTAAGATGGCTGTAATGCCAAAGTTTGCAGTCTCTTTAGGGAAAAAAGACAGACTGAACTGTAGAGATGTTTAGGGAAACAAGAAAGACCAGAGAGACATTTAGGGAAAGCAGAGACACCAGTGAGGAATTTATGGAAAGGGAACAGACCCGGGAGGCATTTAGGGAAAGGATAGAGAGATTGTTGAGGTATTTAGGAAACAGACAGACTGGGAGACATTTTAGGAGAAACACAGTGAGCAAACATTTAGGGAAAGAAAGAAAGAAAGAGACTGCCCACTATAAACACACACACACACACACATCAGTACATGCATTCATACACACACACACACACACACACACACACACTCCCACCTATTTTGACTTCTATTCCCTGTCCTAATGTGTTTTATACCCCACCTCTTATAGACTGTAAGCTTGTTTGAGCAGGGCCCTCTTCAACCCTTTGTTTCTGTGAGTTTTCTTGTAATTGTCCTATTTAAAGTCAAATCCCGCCTCTAATAATATTGTAAAGTGCTACGGAATCTGTTGGCGCTATATAAATCGCAATAATAATAATAAAAATTGCCCAATACACACACACACCCACTGCCAATCCATCCATCCATGCACACTGCCAATCCACCCATCCATACACACACACACTGCCCAGTATACACACACACACAGCCCAACCCATCCATACACACACACACACACTGCCCAATCCATCCATACACACACTGCCCAATCCATCCACACACACTGCCCAATCCATCCACACACACTGCCCAATCCATCCACACACACACACACTGCCCAATCCATCCATCCATACACACACAGCCCAATCCATCCATACACACACACACACACACCCCAATCCATCCATCCATACACACACACACTGCCCAATCCATCCATACACATGATGAGTTACAGTTACAATTGTCTGACAGTTTCACTGTAACTAAAACCGTTAATTAGCATATATAATTATATTAATATGTATCATAAATAGAATTGGTCACTTACTAGCACACGCACACAATGTCACTTACACACTCTCACTAACACTCATACACACACACACAATGGCACTTACACACTCTCACTGACACCCATAATGCCACTTACACACTCTCACTGACACCCATAATGCCACTTACACACTCTCACTGACACACAAAGTCACTAACACACACTCACTGATACACATAAAGTCACTTACACACTCTCACTGACACATAATGTCACCTACACACTCTCACTGACACAATGTCACCTACACACTCTCACTGACACATAATGTCACCTACACACTCTCACTACATACATATAAAGTCACGTACACATTTTCACTGACACACACACACTCTTACTGAAACATACACACTGATACCAGTTTACATAGTTTGTTTAAACACACACACACCAATATAAAAACATATATAAAATAACCAGTCCCCCTTAGCCTGAGTGCTGTTACAAGAGGAGATGAAGCGATCCCCTGGACTGTAAGGAAGGGGAGGCATGACTGCTGCCACTCAGTAAGGGGTGTGGATTTATGGGATACATTGTTGCAATATGGGGAAAGTATAAGTATCTGTGTAGGGGGAGAGTACTCACCATTCCCAGAAAAAAAAGGCTGGAACAGGTTTCCCGTCTGTCCGTCCCTCCCTTCAGGCTGATTATGTATGTTGGTGCTGTGTTTTTGCGGTGTTGTTGTTTCTCTTTTCTTTTTGTCACAGCTATGGCGGAGGTCCTGGCCAGCGCAAGTAATGCAAGACAATGCTCTGGGGAGTCGCAGCTGCCAGGACTGATGGCAGAAGGCAGACTGTACGGACTCTTGGAATTATCCGGTGTATCTGTTTGTTGGGTAGTCACTCCAACAGCCGACAGGTGGTGATATAAAGCTGGCTGAGTTGATATGTTGGAATAATAAAGCTTTGGCCGTTGCCTTTATCCAGTACTCCGGTGTCTTGTCGTTATTGGGGGGCAACGGGAATGTAAGTGGTCTGCAGTCATGTCCAGCCTTGTTTATGCTGGGGGAGCCGTGCACACTGAGCACAGGCTGCTTCCTGCTCCCTGCAGAGTGCTTTCGGTCTTCACAGGCTGTGGCAGTTGGGATACCAGGTCAAGTCCCAGCCTCCCCTGAGTGCAGGAAGCATTCTGCTCGGGTGCTGGGGTTATTGCAAACCCCGCTCCCAGAGCAGATAGTCGTTGGGCACCATCAAGGCAGAGGGAGCCCAGCAGCTGAATAGCTGCGCTGGGGGGGGTGGCTAAAGAGCTCTTCAGCCCCAGACAGGAGCAGCCCACCAGGAAACTTCCCAGTGAGCACCCCCAGCGAATGCCTTGTTCACCCAATGGTGGCACCGGCCCTGTATGCATTAAATGTACTTACATTATACACAGCAGTGACTTCTCTGTCCAGGGGTCTAGTCACCCACAGCCAGACAGTTTTTTCTTCCACAGTGAACACCCCCACAGGTGGAATATCAGCCCCCGGGCCGGTTATGCTGTAGAAAACTCTCTCTTCCTTGTCCAGAGTCAATGAAATCTAATGAAAATTGATAATTATTGATCATAATTTACACAGATTATGTTTTCATATCGCCAGTAAGGGATGCAGGATACCAGTCTCCATTAACAAGGCACACATGGGGTGACAGCGCTCTTCTGGATCAGAAATTACATTGCAAATCCAGCATGGTGTACCATCACTACTTAACCCCCAAATCACGTGGGCACAAATGCATTTGAGATTTGAAAACAAGTTTCAGATAAAATAGATGCATTGTAATCATTTTCCAATGTTCTAATTCTCTTGTGAATTCTCTATATTTCTTGGTTTACAGAATAATTGCATTTGTTTCTTCATTGTCTGCTCTCTAAAGGGTTATTTCAAGCACTGTGGCCTCTTTAGTGAGTTGAAGTGGTCATGGTGCCTGGAGTCTGTGGGTTTCGCTATGAAACACTTTGCATACAGAGTTTAACCCCTCTGCTGTTGGAGGTTTAACTCCACCTTAGGCAGTGTCATTGGGTGGTCATTAGCCAGCCCGGGACAAGAGTTCCAGGTAATTAATGGAAATCCTGTGCGAATTTGGGAAGCCAATGACGGCACCCCCCTCCCCAATGTCCTCGTCTTGAACGCCATCTCATTCCTATGAGAAGGACTGATGTCAGGATCAAGCTTCAAGAAAAACTCAACCTCGCCTCTATGTCAGCCCACTTAGATTATGATTTTATTTTGTCTTTTCCTGTTTCGGAGTGAATACTTTGTCTCATTACTCCCTCTTCCACGCGCCGTATCCTAATCCCAACCTCTATGATCCCACTATCTGTTCCCATCAACTCTTTATAATACCACAGCATCAGATGTGCCCCATACACTGCCCTTTTCCTTATGGCACCTCCTCCAAACCAGTTCCAGCTTTACACCTTCTCTCTACAATTACCCCATTTATGCAGTCTCCCCTATCTTCCTGAAAAACATACCCTCCCTACTGGTCCTAGAACCCAGAAAAACACAAATGAATGGCACTCTAGTAACTGGACTTACTTGTACTACTCTTTTGGGATATGGTCCCCTTTCATTTTCAGATATTCTAATTGGAGGAATTACCCGATCTCTCTTCTGTCTCATTATTTTCCGTTCATTGCTGGGAATCTCCTAGGGGTTGGAAAAAGGGATATTATTAATCAAACAAAAAATGGAATTAGTGTATATATAAGGCATGATATGTTACTTACATCCCAAGAATGCAATACCCAGAACAGATAAAATGTATGTGTAACGGCACCCTCAGCATAAAAGGGTTAAACCGCCGTTTAGTAGATCTTCCCTTCCAGAGACACAGGCACAGCTACTGCAGAACACCAATCCGCCGAATAGGAAACCATATGAATGCCGTAAACAGCCGAATAGGAAAAACCATACAAATAGGTTTACACTCCTAGCAGTCAAACTGGAACAGCATACAATAAATCCCCCCAAGAACGAGACAAGGCTCCGTTTTGAGGGTCAAGCAGGAACAGACAGAGCTGTGGGTTTATTGTTCTTATATACACATTAGTACCACCCACAGGGTTTTGGAACACAACCAATAAACACATACAATACACTCAGACACTCCTACACAAAATCCTCCCCTCAGCCTGTGATACAATTACCTTACACAATGGGTAATGTAATTATCACAAGCAGAGAAATAAAATTTTTCCACATTATTCATAACTTGAAAAACATGAGAAATTAAAATTGACAATACAACAGTCTGTCTGGTGATAGTGGCTTTACTATCTGAGAATTCTTTCATATTTTAGGGGAATGGTCAAATAAGTGCAGAAATAGACTATATAGTTCAATCCCACACAGCTACGAACGATTTGAAGTTGCCTTGAAGGAGCACTACAGTTATAGAAAAACCATAGATTAGTAATTTGTTCCTTTGTATAGTGTCCTACTCACTGTTTAGGTGGCCAGTCCCCCTGTAAGGGTTTAAAAGATAAGTTTAACTTGCCTGATATCCCATGACGCCCTGGTCTTGCCCTGGTCGTTCCGGTCTCGCCATGGTCGGCCAGCCTCCTCAGCTGAGATGATCAATATTGAGGATCTCAGCCAATCCAAAGCTTCTACATTGGGAATCAATGGGAGGCTGGAGTGGACGCGCGGCAAAACTCTGCACTGCGCCAATCACATCTGCTCAATGAGCAGCATTTCATATATAAAATATTTGTGCTCTGAATTTAAAAGGTTATGGAATGTACAAGAAGATGCAAGGTTGGTTGAGGGGCGCAGAAACCAACGAACAAGTAGGCCTGTAATAAAAAGAGGGCAAAAGGAGGAGTCAAAGAAAACACACTTTATTGCAAGTTATAAAGCGAGACTTCTGAAAGCTTGTCGAAGCTCCCTCTCCAGTCGTGGTATGTATTGTAAATAGAGGATTTCCAGTGGACCAGTCTCTTAATGATGTGGACTGGTGTGTTAGAGCGAGATGCTGAAGATGCTGCGCCTATACAGAAGAAGTGACCAGAGAAGGAAGCCGGGTTGTAGCCCAACCTTGACAGTAGAGTTCTGACGTGAGATGTGAACTTAGCTGTGGTGAGTGGGTGCCCTTGGAGTAGGAATAGTGGAGTGTCCAATGAGTGTGCGTGGTGAAATACGAGAAAAATGTTGAGTATTTTGACTGAGCACCAGGCATTCTTGGTAGGGAAGAGAGGAATGATAGTGGGATGATTGGTGTGGTTAGTTTTCGTGGAAGGTAATGAAAGGACATAGTCGTCATTTACTTTCGTTAGATGAGATAGTTTAAGGCTTGATGTGGTATGTACCTGGCGTACGACTGAACTCCCTAGGTCTAAGAAAGCAAGAAAGATGGCGGCCTTTATAACCAGGCTAGTGTGGTAATTGAACAGGGATTTGTCCAATAGGTCACTAAGTAGTCTGAAAATAGGACCATCTATAGGGAATCTGGTAGTGACAGGGGGAACTGTAACCTTGTTAATACCTTTAAGGATGTTCTTAATAGAGTATGATGCTAAAAAAGGTGCGTGATTAGGCAAGTTAGTGAGGACGTGTAGGTAAAGCTTAATGGTATTAAGGATAATTTGAGGTGTAGGTGACAGAAGGAGGCAAAAGCCACCATGGTTTTAATGGAGAAGTCTCCTTGCAAGTGAAACTCCGCAGTGAACCTATTGAAAATGTACAGAGCCCTAGCTTAAGTGGTAGTGGTGTTGGGTGAGAGTGCGTGGTGTGGCCGAGAGTGGTGTAGTAGCTCAGTTAGTCCATGATTAGCTTGTGAAAAGGTGGTATCCTGGATGGTAGGTGGTGGGCCGTGGGGAGTGCCTGGAAGAATATCTGAAAATGAGAGCGGAAAAGAGCGCCAGCAGCTTTGTTATGGATACCAGGAATGTGAATGCAGACTAGTGGAAACGGAGCGGTTGCTGCCAGCCAAGTCAGTTTGCGTACCAGGCTCATGATGGTAAGAGAGGAGGACCGCCCCTTGTTAATTTCACAGGCTGCTGAATTATCTGAGCAGCATTTAACGGCCGCCACGATGGGGTAAATCTCGAACAATGAGCATGTTTCTCTAAAGGCTGGCAAGGCATCCATCTCAGTGGGCCAGTTATTCCTGGTTGCTAAAAATGGCAGCAAACCCAGTGTGTGCTGCTGCGTCTGTGTAAACAGTAGGTGAAAGCTCGGATAGTGGAGGTATGAACAGAGAGACTCCATTTCATTCGGCCAAGAAGTTATACCACATGTGCAAATCAGCCCTGACAGGACCATCCAAAGTAATTGGGCAGGAGTCGGGCACCCCATGGAGTAAACACAGTAGCCTAGAAGAATGATCTGCCCTGTGTAATGATCCGTATCGTGAAGTTAAGGGGCCCCAATAAGGACTGGAGTCAATTCCTGGTGCATGTATCACTCCGAAGGAGTGGCCCTAATGTGGGTCAATTTCTCGGGTGATAGGCTGGCTTAGAAAGATACTGTGTCCAAAACGATGCCCAAGAAAACTAGGTTGGTAGAGGGTCCAAGTGTTTTACTTGGTGATAGGGGTACCCCTAGTGTATTGAAAAGGGCTGTGGTGTTGTAAATGCTACTTGGTGTGTGAGAGCCCGGTTCTACCAACATAAAATCATCCAAATAGTGGATAACGGATGGACACCTAACTATGTTTAGAAGTAGCCAACAGAGCATTTCAGTGAAAATGCAAAACACCTTAGGGCTGCTCCTTGACCCAAAATTGAGCCGGGTAGAAAAATAATACCTGTCCCGCCATTTAACACTGTGTAAGTGCCATAGTGAGGGGTGAATGGGTAGGAGCTTGAAGGCTTTGGTGATGTCGGTCTTGCTCAACCATGCCTTGCTGCCTGCTGTGATGATGGCTTGCAAAGCGTCATCGATTTTTGCATAGTGTAGTAAAAACTCCACGGCGGGTATTAGAGAGTTTATGCTGGGGACGAAAGAAGAATGAGGTGCTGAGAGGTCGATAATCTTTTTTTATTAGAGAATTTGTGCACGGCTATACCGATGGGGTTGGTATGTCAGGATGAAAAAGGTGAAACTGTGAAAGGGCCAATCATGAAGCCTGCTTTAGTTTCTGTGGTCCACTGTAAGAGGGTCGTTAGAAGCTGACAGCAGGTTATGGCATTCGAGCGTGCCTGTGGGGATGGTGATGAGACCCGTGTGAAAACCCTGTGAGAAACCAATCACCAAATAATCTACCAAATGCCTGGCTGGGTGGGAACGTAGGTAGTAAGCCACAATATCTATGTTGACCTCGGTCAGTCATTTTTTAGGTGACAGTCGAGCTGGGCACATAGTTTTGGTATGCGCTCTGAAGCAAATGGAGCAGCGTTAAAGTTATTGCACACCTGCGCCTTGCCCAAAAAGGCAATGGGTCTGCCCTGCTTATCCTTCTGCCCGCCTTCTTGTCTAGTGTGTGGGGTGAAGGAGTGGTGAGAAGTGGAAGGGTCTGCCTCGCAAGTGCACAAGTCAGTGGAGTGGGATGTTGAGCTACAGGGGGCACAGGACGGGGGCCTCAATCCGGCAAAGTGTCGTCAGAATAGTTCCGTGTCCATCTGGCACCAGTCGATTCTGATATTAAAATGGGCCAGATGAGTTGCTGCCTTGGCTGACATGGACTTGTGATAGTCATAGAAAGAGAACCCCCCATACTTAATGCCTAAGTCAACCACTTTATGCATATAGAGATCAAGCTCTTCCCTCCTGTGTGGATACACTAAGAAAATTACTTCTCTATATATCCCAAAAGCTATCACAAACTGCAGAATAGATAGCTTCTTGTTCAGGCGAGGATCTCTAGTTTTTAATACGACTAATATGTCCCCGTAATTATATGCTCGGTTTTCAAAGACATCTTGTGAGGCAGGGAAACTAGGTTTACGTCCTTCCCATCCAGTGTATCCTTTTTTATGGATGCTGGGATGGAGTGAGCAGCTGAAACATATGATGTAGTGGTTGTGGTTGGTGGGGAACAGAGTGCGAGGGGGGTGCCAGTCGGAAAAATAGGGGTTACCAGAGGAGGACCTGAAGGGCCTGGTAGGTCACCCGGGGTGGCTATGGTTGATTCCACTTTTTTCAGTCTACTATTCATGGTTTGGAGGTTGGCCAGAATAGCTGTTAGGGTTTCCTGCGTGGAATGGAGGTGCCGGTAGACAGTCCTTGTGAGCTAGTGCCAGGCCTAAGTTCGCTGGCCTGAGCCGTCAAAAGTCTGTACAGCTTTGCCTTTATAGCAGTGGCTGAAAAGGGGATACCCCTGAGTCTAAGTTCAGCTGCAATTTTTGGGATAGTCCAAGATCTCAGGGAGCTGGGGGTAGACGGGGTTAGGGATTCTTCTGGAGACCCGGGCCTGGCTGGCGTGATGGGTACTTCATCCGATGGTAAATCATCAATGGGAATTAATTCTTGTGACGTTCTGAAAAAGGAATAATGATTTAAATTAGGTAGGGGGTTGTGGAGGAAGAACGAGACCTTCGGAGAACTGGCCTGCTGACTAGTGCCGAGGTGAAAAACCTAACTATAGCCAAGTGACAAGTCAGGCCCTGCTAATGCCAAGCGGCGGTGAGAGGCTCTACCTATGATTTGGACTGAGGGAAGTCGTGGCCACTGACATGGTGGCGGGATGTTGGCCTCTCAATGACTATAAGAGATTCAAATACGTGTGGCCATGGCTTGGGAGGCCCTAACTGTAGCCCTAAAGGAAGGCGAGGCGATTAAATATGATTTTGGCTGTGGGGCTGAACCTCCATGTTGAGGTGGGGAGTAGGCCTCGCGAGACTGGTAAATTTACTTAGGTTAGCTAAGGCAAGCGCCTATCCCTGTATGCCAGTTCTCTAAACCTGCTGGAGCTTGTCTCCTTAATGGTGTGACCGAACACATGTATTAGTATTACTTTAATCACTTAGTGCGTGATACAGTAGGTCATGGATACAAATTGCTTCGGAAGAAAAACAGGTCAGGCCTGCTAGTGGGCCCAAAGCGTGCCACTGGCATACATGATGTATGTAAAAATGTCAAACGTATGGAGGTGTGTGTATCAATGATACTGTAACGTAAGAACCCGTGTAAGATGACGGACCTGAACGTTGGTCCATACATAGAGATAAGCCCCTAATTACCATTATTTTTGGGAATGTAATAAAAGGAAGGCTGAGTGAGGCCTTGAGGAGAAATCGTAATCGTAGTGAGTAAGATTAACAATACCTGGTACTGAAGTACAGGATACCAGGTTGGCGGTCGGTGGTTGAAAGCTTGAAGGGACTGCGGTATTAACGCAGGTCTAGGCAGGGCCGGACTGGGAAAAAAATTAGGCCCGGGCATTTTTCAATCAGAGCGGCCCCCTAAGTAGAAGGCGGGGCTAGAGACAAGCACGCCCCCTCTCAAAGTGAGCATGTTGGTTCAATGCACAGAGCCCCGCTGAAGGGCTCTAGCATTAGAAAAAGGCCCTGAATTTGTTCTGCGCAGCGCAAGCAAATTTAATATCATACTTGCGCTGTGTTTGCTTTTAAATTGTCTCTGGTGTCTCCACAAGTGGGATACCAGAGGACAAAAGGGCCAGGAAAGTGCATGGTGCATGTGTTTGGAGCCTGCTTGTGGGATTGCGTGTGTGTAGAGTGTGGTGTGGTATTGTGTAAATAGGTTGATTTCATTTGTGTTTGTGGTGTAATATGTGTGGCTAGGGGCAGTGTGTGTGTGTGTAGGAGATCTAGTGTGTAAAGGACTCAGAGTGTGTATAGGAGATTGTATGTGTGTGTGTATAGAGGATTAAGAGTGCATATAGGGTAAGGGATCTAGCGTGTATCTGGAGCGTAATGTGTGTAGTGGTGCCGTGTGAGGGGTGCTGTAGTGTATTATATATATATATATATATATATATTTGGACGTATTGTATGTGTGAGGGGCGCTGTGTGTGTGTGTGTGTGTGTGTGTGTGTGTGTAAGAGGGGTGCTGTGTAAGAGGGTGTTTTTATCTGCCGTCACATTCTAGGTTTCTAATTTTTTTTTGTCTGTTAACTCACTGAGAGTTATTTTATTTATTATAGATATATATGTGTGTGTGTGTATATGTGTGGGTGCTGTGTGAGTGAGGGTGCTCCGTGTGCGTCTGAGGGTGCTGTGTGCGTGTGTCTGGGGGAACTGCGTGTGTATGTGGGGGTGCTGCGTGTGTATGTGGGGTTGCTGCGTGTGTATGTCTGAGGGTGCTGTGTGTGTGTGTACTAGCCAGGCAGCCTCAAATACTGGCTGTGCCAATAAAATAAAAGTCAGGTGGAAACCCTAAGAATAGTGTGTGTGGGGGGGAAAATGTTAAAAAAAAAATAGTTTTAAATCAATGGGCCTATTCCATGGTCCTGGGCCTGGAGCTGCAGCTCCATCAGCCCCTATGTTAATCCGGCCCTGTCTGGGAGGCATATGCTACACATAATAAGAGAAGAATAGAAGTAGGAAAAAGGTAGATAGGTGTCGAAAAAAGATAATAAGGTAGGGGTGGGGAGGGGAGGAGCAGAGGAACCGCTTCCCTTTGTTTAGCTATCTTGTGGGCCTTAGGTCTACTGGGTGACCCTAACTCAAGGGGCCATCTTCCCATGGTGCCCATATTTTCTGGAATTCTTTTTGAGTTCCCCTAACTCTTGCCGTCAGGTCATCCATCATATGTACCTCCCTTATTCTATTGATGACCCCTGCAAGAGGTGGCGTGGTCTGTTTAAGCCAATCCGCTGCCACTGGCTGCTCGAGTTACTTTATGGATGAGTTTTTGTTCGTGTCTAGTCCACCCACATCTATTGTTCTGCTGAGTAAGTATTACCACAGGTCTGGGGGGAGGGGTGGGGGTTCTGTTCAGCACCTGGGCTAGTATATCTCTAATTTGTTGCCAGAACCTTTCCATCAGGGGGCATTCCCACCACATGTGGATATATGTCCCTTTCATTCCGCACCCTCTCCAACAAAAGTCGGTAGGGCACTTTTTCATTTGATACAGCTTTACAGGAGTTGTATACCAGCGAAGCATCGTCTTAACTGCTTGCTCCTGTATCGTTACGCATACTGAGGATTTGTGATTGGCTTCCCAGATCTCTTGCCACTCTATCCCTTCTAATTTCTCCCCCAGGTCCCTCTCCCATTGTTCTGTGTAGGCCAGATTTCCCCCTTCGTTAGTTACAGAGCAGAGGTGGGCGTACAGCCGAGTTATCAGACCCGTAGGCATATGGTCCTGAAGGCATATTTGTTCGAAGAACGTCATGGGTTTTTGGGCCGCCGCCCGGACCCATGGGAGTTTAACGAAATCTTTTATTTGTAAGTACCTGAAGAAGTCTGCAGGCGTGAGGTGACCCCTTTGTTGTAGGGTGTCGAAAGTTACTACCTCTGAATCCTGTACCAACTGATGTATGCGTTGCAGACCTTTCTTTCTAGATTCCTGAAATTTCGTGCTGCCATTCCCGGCAGGAATGCTCTATTTCGAAGAAACGGCATCAGAGGGGATGGGGCTGATGCCAGCCCATGTCGCTGTTGAGCTCTATCCCAGATATGTATAGAGTTCAGTATAGCTGCCATTTCCGTTCTCCAGGTGGCGAGTGCCATAAGGCTATTTGCGACAATTGTGTCGCCATGTAGTAGCCGTATAGATTAGGCAGTCCGAGGCCTCCCCTATTTTTTGGCCTGTGTAATATATGTCTCAAATTTCTTTGGCGTTTGTTTTGCCACACGAAGTTCCCTATCGCCTGTTGCAGGGGTGCTAGGTGTGTCTTGGATAGATGTATGGGCAGAGATTGGAAATAGAATAATATCCTGGGTAGGATGTTCATTTTGACCGCATGAATTCTCCCAATCCAAGAGACAGGCCTATCGTTCCAGGTCTCTAGTTCCCTAATGAGTTGTTTCATGAGTGGTGTATAATTCTGTTGTAGGAGTTGGTCTGGGTCTGCTGTCAGTTTAATACCTAGATATTTAATCGACTGTCGCTCTATGCGTATGTGGTGTGCCCTCTGAAGAGCTGTTAACTCCACGTCTGGAATCTCGATTGGGAGGGCGCTGGATTTGGTCATGTTAGCTTTGTACCCCGATACAGCTCCACAGGCCTCCAGGACTCCTTGCAAGGCCCTCATTGAGTTGATGGGGTCAGTGAGCGTTAAGAGCACATCATCCGTATACGCCGACACTAGGAATTCCCTGCCTCCTACTCGAACCCCCCATATGTCCGGGTGTCGTCTTAGGGCCTGGAGTAGAGGCTCCAGAGGAAGCACGAATAGGAGCGGGGACAAAGGACATAGAATGTCATGGCAGATAAGAACCATTCGGCCCATCTAGCCTGCCCAATTTTCTAAATACTTTCATTAGTCCCTTGCCTTATCTTAGAGTTAGGATAGCCTTATGCCTATCCCACGCATGCTTAAACTCCTTTACTGTGTTAGATCCCTGTCTGGTGCCATTGTATAGTCTGAACGGATTTAGTGGGGCTCCCGTGATTTTCACTTGTGCTTGCACATTGCTATACATGGCTTTAATCAAAGTCATAGCTTGCTCAGGGAATCCTATGTGGGACAGAAGTGTGAACAAGTACGTCCATGTGACCCTGTCAAACGCTTCTTCAGCGTCCAATGAGACCAGCATGGTTTGGGTGTGTGTGACCGAAAACCCCTGTTTTATGGACTTAGTTTGACTGTTTTGTTCTCCCCCCCCCTCTTAGAACACCAGTTTAAACCCTTAATAACTGTCATATATACAAACTGTCTGACCCTTTTAACTGTCATTTTGTTTTCCTCTGAGGAGGAGTTGTTTTTCTGCATGAGTGCTGTTGCTGTGTGTGCTCATTAAACAGACCTGCTTGACCCTTTCTTGAAGCCTTGGCTCATGCGTGGGAATGGGATAAGTCTGCAGTGCTGATGGTGTTGGTTGGAGTGCTTGGAGTCCTCGGCAAGCACTAGGAGCATCGATTGGCGGAGGTACTCTGTCAGAGTGCCAGCGGGTCCGTCACACACACCAAAGTATGATAGCCCAAAGCTTACCTTTATTTGGGCCAGTGACTAGTATCAACATATGGTGACAGTAAGCTCTTTACATAACATAAAAAGGTTTTAAAAACTGTTCATGGGAATAGTACCTGCTAGGCATTGTACTGAACTACCTGTTTATAACTTGATTGTTTTCTTACTCATATGTCGAATTCTGTAGAATCTGCTCTTTCACACTTACACCCGTGAACAATATAAAAATAGGTATAAGAAAATATATTATCAGAAAAAGGGCAGCTACATAGAACTGCAAGCGACTTAAATGAGTAATAGACTGAGAATAAACAAAAAAGTGGTATGTGCGCTCACCCATGAGCTGAAAATAAATAAAGAATTAAAAGCCAACGACATCACATGGCACCCAGACCACGTCGTTGAGATGAAGTGGCCTGGAAGCCTTTAGAATCCCTTTAAAAAAAAAAAATAAATAAATAAATAAAAAAAACGAAAACAGTTTAGCTTTCTCAATTGATTTAGGTCTGAAGAGTGTCTTGTTTTTTTACTTTCTTTTTACTAAAAGTGCATTTCAAAAGAAATTATAAATGGACCTTTCTACACGCCCTGGCTGTCAATTAGACAACTCCGGTTACTTCCTGGTTTATTTGGCTCAGTGGAGATAAACCCAAGAGGCGATAATTGCCCAGAGCACCTGCCTTGCAAAGACTTCTCACTGAGCTGCATTAGGAAGCCTGTGATTGGATAGCTACAGAGAGCCTAGACGGGGTTAGAAAGGGAGGGCTTGTAAAGGCTGCAGACAAGAGATCTCTAGGTTTTACAAGCAGTTTTTAGATATGTTGTCATTGGGGTTATATCTACTAAACATGATTTTATTTCGTATTTGGGCAGTGGAGTGTCCCTTTAACCTACTTAGGGAAGACTAGTGCTTCCAAAACTATTAGAGTTTATATTTCATGAAACAAATAGTTTTGCTGGAGACAGTAATATGAATAAAATGCATTTATTTTGATTGTTCTAGATGGAAAGACAATTCAGGAACAGTTCGCGTCCTCCTTGGGAGACGGTCAGCCGGCTAACTGCTGAATTAAAACAGAATATTAAAAATCAATTAATCAACAAATATCACATCCCTGAATAATCACAGATTTAGAATTAAGAGAGACTGGGTGATATCCGTCTTTACTGGATCCTGGAGGGGGTAGATAACAGCAATAAATACAGAAATAAAATGTAAATATTGTGTTTTATATCTGCTAATCACAGCGTACTGTGCTGGCTGTTTTCATTGTGTACATTTTTTGTTATTGGCTTTCAATGTATTCACGTAGATTTGCACTGCAGGTTTTAGACATTCTGTTTAAAAGGAACAATCCAAGCACCATAACCACTGAGAATTTTATGGAAATGTGTAAAATTAAAAATAAGTTGCTGCACATTTACAGTTGTAAAAAAACAAAAACAAAACAAAACTACAATAAAATAGAAATTGGTGAGGCTTGCTTTTACCTGTTCTTGCTCATTCCATATAAACACGGGCACGGAGTGTTTTTTGCCAGCTCCATCCCACGCACTCAGCCCAAACTGGACGGAGGAATCATGCAAGGTGACCTGTCTTTTCACCGTCATTGTCCCGTCAGATGACACCTGGAAACGGCGGTCTTGTGGGGAATAGAGGGCACGAGAACGACTGGCGCAGGGTTCGAAACTCACTAAAAAGAGAGAAGAGGAAAACAAAAATTAAATAAAAAGCAAAAAACAAAATGCTGCTGGTGACAGTCTGTGTTTTATTTATTCCGCAATTATATGAACAGTCAGTATTGGCAAACAAAAGGCTTTTTGACCAAAAGACCGGTTTAAAAAATAAAAAATAAAAACTATTTTAAAGGACAGCTTTCAGCCTGGATTCAAAGTGAACATAATGATTAAGGCCAGAGCAGCCAAACTGAAAAACAACTCTTCATCCATGCTTTCAGTCTAGCTACCCTGGCCTTAAATTTGTAATTCACTTTTTATTCTCAGTTTAGTGAATGATCCAGAGTCTGTTGTGACACCTTGAGGCACAGCGCATGATGTGGAAAAAAGAAAAATGTGAAAAGGCCGGCCCATAGCGAGCTGGGACAGAACGTCTCGAACAAACTTCACAAGATGAAGAATCAACTCTCTGGGTAGAAGAAGTCTGGTGAACGGTAAGAAAGGAGGAGGAGAAGGGAGGACAGAAATAGAAGAAAGCGATGGACATCACACCAGATTGGTGTAGATACCGTGTGAATATTGCCATTTTCAGGACACGGTACAGACACCACCCTCAGTCCTTCTTATTGTTCTTTATTGGTTTATTTTAGTGTAAACACAGTCTGTAGCATTGTACAACATGAGAGCCAAACATGAAATGGGGGCATAGTGATAGAAAGTCCTGCCTTCATTACGCCATGTTACCAGTAACACCGCTGCAGCGGTCTGCAATCCGTGAGTTCCTGTGAGATTGTTTTGGAACGTGTGGCGGCGAACATATGGGGCACGCAGACTGGATGCAAAGTTTGTCAGAGTTATTTACTAACATGAGAGCGGTCAGAAATTTAAGATTTAAGGCCAAAGTAGCCAAGCAGGAAACGTTTTTCAAGTCAGATCTGTTTTTATATTGGCCTTAAAGGAATACTATAGTGTCAGGAACAGAAACATGTATTACTGACAATAGTTCTAAAATGACGGTTTAGATCATCGGCCCCTATTCACCGCACCAGTCTCTCCACAGCTGGCCCTGCTTCCATGGCTGAGATAATCAGATTTGATGATCGCAACCAACCCAATGTGAGGCTATTGAGCAGGTGCAGCAAAGTGCTGCTCCAATCAGCATCTCCTCATAGAGAGAGTCATTGAGTCAATGTATCTCTATGAGGAAAGTTCAGTGTCTGCCTGCAGAACGTGGAGACACTGAATGTCAGTCACACTGTGCAGCACTGCCCCAAGAAGCACCTCTAGGAGGAGTGGCCAGTGGAGGTATCCCTAGGCTGCAATGTAAACACTGCATTTTCTCTGCAAACAGTGTTTACTGCAAAAAGCATGAAGGAAATTATAATAATCACCAGAACAAATACATTAAGCTGTAGTTGTTCTGGTGACTATAGTGTCCCTTTTAATCCTGAGACTTTAATGGAGCCTTTTCATTTAAAAATAATAAGTTGCAACTGTTTGGAGTCAGTACTCAAGGATTATAGGCTCTGTGTATGGTGTATATAGCATTAATGTGCTTGGAGATTGATGGTTATAACACCATTTTCTGGTTGATTACAGACTGTACCATGCATTGCAGAGTGGTATCTTCAATCACTCACCTTTCCCCAGAACTCTTCCTCTCTCCAGGACCTTACGAGTCACAGAGAAAGCATAGCGCTCCTCCTTGAATCCCGGCTCGCAGGGTGCGTCCTCAGCGAGTCCATTGGCTACCTGTAAACACAGACAGAGCACCAGGTTACATATTCAAATATTCCCAGGAGTCTGGAGGCTCTGCTGTAGCGGGTCTTACTATGCTCTCTGTTTCAATAGGAGAGGATGCCCTGTATAAGGAGTCTGTATCGCGGGTAGCTTTATAAACGGCAAGTCATAACTTTACTCAATAGTTTATCTCAATACAGAAATAAATCATGTAATGTCCACAAAGCCACGTATAAGTCACATAGCTTCACACGACGCAGAATACCACACTGGCAATATGCAGTGTTGCCACGTGGCCCCCTATAAAAACAGATTTCCCAGAGGCCCGGGCCGCAGAGGAGTCTTGGAAGCCAGGGTCTGCGTTGGAAGCATGGAATAGATTAACAAACATAATAAAATGTATCCAAAGAATTCTCACACAGTTTACAGACAGTCTGAGAGAGTTAACAAACCCGCTCTGTGGCTACAGGGATATAAGAGGATTGAAAATATACACCATTAATATTTGTTAACTTATTAAAATAGACCCCTCTCTTGTACGTTACCTTTATGACAAACAGAAAGAGAGCCAGGTGACAGGAGAACGTCATGTTTTGCAGAGATCCCAAACACTTTCTGTGTGCGGAGTGAGGTTCTGACGATCCCCCTTCTGATGGTCCAGGGACAGGAAGTGGGAGATATATTAGTTCCAGCTGTTGGGACAGGGGCAGATGTGCAGCACAGCCTATCCGAGCTGTGTTAGCAAGGTTTGGGGAATGTAGGAGGGCACTTATTCTGTACATTGCAGCAGAGGGAGGGTCTCAGAAACGGCTGACTCTATACATTGCAGCCAAGCCTCACAATGCAACATTAATAGGGGGACAGGGGCACAATCGTGGACATAACAGAAAGTGAATAAAAGTTTCACGTTTATGAAGAAAAGTTACAATAAATAAATAATAATATTCACTTGCATAATTAATTATGTCCCCATGGGTCTGTGTCCCGCAATGTCCCCATGTCTATGTGTCTCTGATCCCCCAGTGTCCCCATGTCTCTGTGTCACTCAGTGTGTCTGTGTCCCCCAGTGTCCCCATGTCTCTGTCATAGACCGTCTCTGATCCCCCAGAATCCCCATGTTTCGATGTCCCCCAGGATCCCCATGTCTGTCCCCCCCAGTCTATGTGTCTGATCCCCCAGTGTCCCCATGCCTCTGATGCCCCAGGATCCCCGTGTCTCCCAGTATCCCCCCAGTCCATGTGTCTCTGATCCCCCAGTGTCCCCATGTCTGTGTCCCACCAGTCTATGTGTCCCTGATACCCCTGTGTCCCTATGTTTCTGTGTTCCCCAGTTTATGTGCCTCTGATCCCCCTGTTTCCCTATGTCTCTGTGTGCCCCCTGTGTTACCCGTTTCAGACTGCCTTCCTACTTGTCTCCCCCCATCCCCGAGTCGCTCTCTGGACTCTCTGTGCAGAGCGGCTTCCCTGCGGATAAGTGAGTAGAGAGAGGCAGGGAGGTATATACTGTAACTTCGTATCCCTGCCTCTCTCCACACACAACGACCCTTACTGGCTGACGCAGGCATTATCTAATCTCGGTTTATACCGAGAAAAATAGCGGCATTTGTATTGTATTATTGCAATACCGGCACTGGCCAGGCGGCCTCAAATACCGGCTGTGCAGGTAAAATACCGGCCAGGTGGCAACCCTAGCACCGCCTCAGAGCCCACACATCTGTACAACGCCCTCGCTTCCACCCGCCATTAATCCTTTCTTATTAACTGTGTCAGGTACTGCAAGGGCCAGAAAGCAGATCTCCAGCTAATTTAGAACCTGGGATTTCTTTAAGTGCCGGAACAATAATAAAAAGCCAGGAAAGTAAAAATAGTAGAAGTGCATAAAAATACAATAAAAAAAAAAAAAAAAAAAAAAAAGAACTGGCAGAGTAAAGTAACCAAAAACCTTTAATTGATATAAAATACACAATTTAAAATAGTAATTTTTTTTGTTTTATGCCATTTGAGAAAGCCATCTCTTTGTATTGTCTCATCTATTGAAGGATTTGAGGGGTCCTTCGTTTGGGTTGCTGCCTATCTACATATTGTTTGTTAATTAGCACTGATTTCCTTTTGTTTCCTGTACATGGCATGGGAGGATTACAAATATTAATTAAACCAGAGAGAACAATTTACTACACATTTCAAGATATTTTAGTTTTCTTAGTGATTAGATCCTCCTTAAAAAATAATCTATTAGAAAATAATATATATTTATTAATTAGACACACAGTTCATTAAATGATAATTTTCAGACAGAGTACATTATAAATTATTTAAAACACGAATGGTCTGCTAGGCCTGTCCCATGCATGGTGTTCTCCTGGACACAACGTGACAATTCAAAAGAACGTTCAAATTTAAGGTCCAAATAGACAAACTGGAAAACTTATCTAAACCAGCTAAACTTTCAATTTCAGCTTCTCTGGCCTTAAAGCGGCACGGTCACCAACGGTACAGCATTGAGGTCTATGGGTGATCCTGCCAAATACGCCTTATGTCAGGCCCCCTACATGCACGCTGCGAGCGGCGGCGGCTTCACTTACCCGCTCACCGCAAGCGGCAGCTTCTAGTGCCTGCTCGCCGCTTGCGGCTGTCTCAGTAACCGCCGGCATTATTTCTAATGCTGCACGCTCGCGTGCAGTGTGTATAAATATGCGCCCGAGTCAGCGCACATCGATGACGGTAGGGATCGATGTAGAAGGTTCAAATACCTTTCACGTGTTATAATTAACTCTAATTGGAAACTAGCCAATCAGAATAACCCTAACCATATTTAAACTGACCTCCTCCGTGCCTTGTTGCCCTGTTGTAGTCTTCTGATAGCCCAATAGCGCTTCTACTCTGTCTGATCATTGGTTACCGAATTTTGGCTTTGTCTCTAGTTTACTCTGTCTTCTCTGATCCTTGACCTCAGCTTGTCGTATCGTTGTTCCAGATCGCAATACTCCTTTGACTTTGGTTTGTACACTGACCGTTCTCCTTTAGCGTAGCCCAGCCACTCTAAGGACCGGTATTGCAATTGTTCCTCTCATGATCTGTCAGTGTGTCTGGTTCTGGAACCGTGACACCTTAGACACAGTCAATTCACTGCACGGATGCCGGTTGGGCAGGATTGACACCTAGACTCCGACCTAAATCTAAGAAAGTCAGGCGGAAGGAGAAATACAGAGAAACTGTAATCCCTACTTTGTCTGTATATCTTTTGACTTGGTTGGAATTTCAGTGAAATTCCTACCACAATCATATTGAGTATTTCATAAACATTCTATCCTTATGAAATCCTCATTTTTTTCAGGGGGGGGAATAACATTGCCACTTTAAATTTGCAATTCACCTTAAATTCTCACTTGAGTAAATAACGGTGTGAGAGGCAAGGGCCACAGTTAGCCTAGAGATCACGGTGTTAGAAGAGCAATCTAAATTACTCAAACGGAATAATCCGGTTTATTCACAGTGTGAATTGTCAGGATTTCAATGTGAATTTCAGATTTACGCTAAACGGATAATGCAGCAGTCAGCTCTCTCTCTTTGGAGCCATTGCTCAGTTTAATTAGACAGTGTCCGGAGACGGGGGCTTCACAATCTTACAAAATCTCAGCTTATACCAAGGACAGACTGCTCCCCTAAGAAACGTGGGACAGGCCCCAGTGCATGTATTTAAATTATTGGACGCAAAATAAATCTGGGCAAATCCCAGTGAGGTCTCTTAATATGTCACTGACCGACACAAAGCCAATAATATCCGGATAGCACATTAGATTTGCACACAGTTCATTCTTGTATTTGGCGATTCCACTAACTGCAAACCCAGACACCTTGTTATTCGCCAACTATGGCAAACCCAACCACGTGTGAAATCTGAATGAGATAACTAAGAAACACTCCATTTCCTGGGTAACCAGGCCACAAGCTGTCAAAATGAACGTCTCTCTGAGACTCCCGGGCCTCACCTGGGGCCACTAGGGATTTGGCCAGCCTTCAGTCGGCTATTGATTCTGTTATATGGCAAAACGAATGCCGTCAGCACGGCACAACGCTGGCTTCCAGGTACATGATTTCTGCATATTATTTGGAACTGAGAAGAGCACAATAGGATAATTAACAGTATAAACAGAAAACCCTTTACTAAATAATCCTGATTATATTGAGAAGTCTGTATAGATCTGCACGCTGGGTGCGTAAAGCGCTGCATGGATCTGCACGCTGGGTGCGTAAAGCGCTGCATGGATCTGCACGCTGGGTGCGTAAAGCGCTGTATAGATAACATTTCAGGACATGTGAATACACAGAATCGGCAGGGTGTAGCAGATCCCCCTTCCTCTGTGCCCTTTTTAGCTGATGCCACATGCGAGTGTTTAGAGTTAAATGAATGAATCGAACGTTACACAGAGACAAAGCTATGATAGCATCTCGATGTGACACAATCAGCTTCAAACAGCACATGATGCAGAACAAAACAGGCCTTTAAAAAACAATTTAAATACTACAAGAATCTCCTCCTAAGAATGCAAGGAATGTATGCTCGATTTTACTCGAGTTTCATGGCTAGATTGCTGTATTTTTTGGGAATAATTAGAAGTCTGCACTCTGTGGCTATGTTGTAAAGTGCTGCCCAGCAGTATGTGGAATTAATTTACTCTCTGCAGGCACACATCATTTGGGGGCTTCAGGATCCAAGTATTAGCAGGGACCCTTAAATCTCGTCTCGATTTTCCTAACTTGGCCCCTGGGGGACAGACCTTGGTTCCTGGTTATTTGACGGACGATTGCTTTATGTGTGAAGAGTGTGTCCTCTTTATTTTACAAAATGTACAGATTTCAATAGAAATTGCCACTTTAATAAATTAAACGTGTCACACCCCCCTGACTGTCAATCAGACACCTGGTCCGATTACTTCCTGGTTTGTTTTGCTCAGTGGAGATACAATTGTCCAAAGCACCTGTAGTACAGTGGCCCGGATGATTTGCTTCTATAATGTTAAACATTGCAGGTTTATAGACACGGTAATGTTGAATTGCAGGGCTAAAAATACCTGTAGTGACAGTGTTCCTGACAGCCACTAGAGGGCTCCAACGGTCTTGCAACAGAGTCACATTTCGCTCTTTTAAATTCACCAGGGCCATAGCAAGGGTGGGAAAACACCCAGAATTTGAGCCCAAAAATAATTGTGACATTATTATCATCGCCATTTATATAGCGCCAACAGATTCCGTAACGCTTTACTATAAATAGGACAATTACAAGAGAACTTACAGGAACGATAGGTTGAAGAGGACCCTGCTGAAACGGGCTTACAGTCTATAGGAGGTGGGGTATAAAACACATTAGGACAGGCAATAGCAATCAAATAAGGTGGGAGTAAAGCAGAGCTGGAGGAGAGACTAGAGTGCTGCCCTTTAGGAGAGAGCAAGAGACAGGTATGTAAGGTAGAGGTTACTCTGGGAGGCCATAAGCTTTCCTAACGAGATGGGTTTTAAGGCACTTCTTAAACGATTGAAGACTAGGGGAGAGTCTGATGGCGGTAGGCAGGCTATTCCATAGGAAAGGAGCCGCCCGAGACAGGTCCTGCAAGCGCGAGTTGGGCGTACGGGTACAGGCAGCGGACAGAAGGTGGTCATGGGCAAAGCGGAGAGACCGAGAAGGGGCATACCTGTGGATCTGTGATGAGATATAAGAGGGGATAGAGTTGTTTAGTGCTTTATAGGTATGGGTTAGTACCTTGAATTGACTCCTATAGGAGACAGGAAGCCAATGTAAGGACTGACAGAGGGGTGAGAGGACCAACTAGAGAGGAAAATCAGTCTGGCAGCAGTGTTCATTACAGACTGTAGCAGGGCAATACGGCTTTTGGGAAGACCAATCAGGAGAGAGTTACAATAATTCATGCGGGAAATTACTAGAGCATGGACAAGCTCCTTGGTAGCATCTTGTGTAAGAAAGGGGTGGATGCGGGCTATGTTTGTAAGATGGAATCTACATGATTTGGCAACATACTGGATGTGAGTCTCAAAGATGAGGCCAGAGTCAAGTATGACGCCAAGACAGCGCACTTACAAGGATGGACTTATGTGGGTACCATCAACTTGAAGGGAGAGCGAGAGAGGAGGATCAGTATTAGGAGGAGGAAAGACAAGGAGCTCAGTTTTAGAGAGATTGAGTTTCAGAAAGCGGGAGGACATCCAGTCAGAGATGGAAGAAAGGCAAGCAGTGACACGTTGCAGGACGGCAGGGGAGAGGTCCAGGGAGGAGAGAGATATCTGGGTGTCATCAGCGTACAGGTGGTAGTGGAATCCAAAAGAGGCAATAAGCTTGCCAAGAGAGGCAGTGTAAAGAGAAAATAGAAGGGGACTATGTGTGCATCGTACTGCGTGCACATAACTCTGCAAAAATATACACCTGCATTCACACATCGGCTTAAATGCATGTTTTTATCTGAATTAAATGCCCATCACACACAGCCAATAAACCCAGCACAAATATCACATACAACCAATACACTTATATCACACACAGTTAAATACACCCATTACAAATATCACACACAGCCAACACATAGCATACATGTCACACACACAGTCATCACATCATAGTGGGATGTATTACAGTGGAGTTCTGGTATATAAAATGCACATTACTCTGTGTTTTATAGTTGGGGAGCTCGGTGATGCACTAATAGACACATTAGAGTTGTATTGTTGTGTAGTGTATGATCTTGTCACAGAGCTCCACATTACGGGGAGTTTTATTGTTGTGGAGCTCTGTGATAAATTGAGAAGTAGTGCATTACTCCAAATTTTTATTCCAAAGAGGTCAAGGTAAATACGTATAATCCAGAGCTCCAAAGCAAAACCACTCACAGTATTATGTGACATACTTAGTCTGCTCCTCTGTAATGTAGGGGAGGCAGTCTGGCACTTCTTCCTAGCTCGGAATAATCAGAGATTACCACAGGACTCTGCAAGTCCCTGAGCTTGCGAGACAGTTACGCATGGTCTGTACCCAGTGGGGGGGCATACCAGATTCAGATCAGCATGCCCCTCTCCCAACTAGGTAACAACAGGAAAGGAGGAATGAATATTTGTTAATGTAATAAATCCCCTATACAATCACTACACTCCTATATACATGGATGCCCGGGGGGCGCCGTTAAGATTTTTCACACAGGGCGCCTAAAGCCGGCCCTGAGGTCAGCCATGCAGGCAGGTCAGGGGTAGAGGCAGCAGCTGCAGATTTGACTACAAGTAAGCTTTTACTATATTAAGGGAGGCAAGGGGGAGCTAGATAGTGTTTTTAACACTATAGAGTCAAGAATACATGTTTGTGTTCCTGACCTTACAGTGATCCATTAAACCCAATACGAGTCCTTTATGAAGAACTAATGCTAGAAAACCAGAAGTTGATTATAATGAAAGCAAACTGAACACACGCTTACACAAAAGGTTTGTTATTACTGTCAGATCTGGAGTACGGCAGCTGCCAAAACTGAACAGCCTGCAGATTAGGCAGTCAATTATTTGGTGTAATCAATAAAGGGTTGTACATGTGCAACAGTCTCAGGAAACCTTCCCTCTTCCATTACAAATATGGAAGTGAAGCTACTTAGAGTGCAGACAGAGACGGCTCAGGGTTACAGCGTAGAACCTACAGCGTCTGATTTTGGAGTCCTGTGTCTGATGTCATTGGCTGTGCAGGCGCAGGGTTACAGCGTAGAACCTACAGCGTCTGATTTTGGAGTCCTGTGTCTGATGTCATTGGCTGTGCAGGCGCAGGGTTACAGCGTAGAACCTACAGCGTCTGATTTTGGAGTCCTGTGTCTGATGTCATTGGCTGTGCAGGCGCAGGGTTACAGCGTAGAACCTACAGCGTCTGATTTTGGAGTCCTGTGTCTGATGTCATTGGCTGTGCAGGCGCAGGGTTACAGTGTAGAACCTACAGCGTCTGATTTTGGAGTCCTGTGTCTGAAGTCATTGGCTGTGCAGGCGCAGGGTTACAGCGTAGAACCTACAGCGTCTGATTTTGGAGTCCTGTGTCTGATGTCATTGGCTGTGCAGGCGCAGGGTTACAGCGTAGAACCTACAGCGTCTGATTTTGGAGTCCTGTGTCTGATGTCATTGGCTGTGCAGGCGCAGGGTTACAGCGTAGAACCTACAGCGTCTGATTTTGGAGTCCTGTGTCTGATGTCATTGGCTGTGCAGGCGCAGGGTTACAGTGTAGAACCTACAGCGTCTGATTTTGGAGTTCTGTGTCTGATGTCATTGGCTGTGCAGGCGCAGGGTTACAGTGTAGAACCTACAGCGTCTGATTTTGGAGTCCTGTGTCTGATGTCATTGGCTGTGCAGGCGCAGGGTTACAGCGTAGAACCTACAGCGTCTGATTTTGGAGTCCTGTGTCTGAAGTCATTGGCTGTGCAGGCGCAGGGTTACAGCGTAGAACCTACAGCGTCTGATTTTGGAGTCCTGTGTCTGATGTCATTGGCTGTGCAGGCGCAGGGTTACAGCGTAGAACCTACAGCGTCTGATTTTGGAGTCCTGTGTCTGAAGTCATTGGCTGTGCAGGCGCAGGGTTACAGCGTAGAACCTACAGCGTCTGATTTTGGAGTCCTGTGTCTGATGTCATTGGCTGTGCAGGCGCAGGGTTACAGCGTAGAACCTACAGCGTCTGATTTTGGAGTCCTGTGTCTGATGTCATTGGCTGTGCAGGCGTAGGGTTTCGCTTTTACAGCCAATGCTAGTATGAAGGACCTGTGTTGTCACTGTTGACATAGTGAGGCTTTCCAACTGCGCACGCGCTGTTCCAGCACGCCTAGGGATCGAACGCGGATTGGTTATATAGAACGCAGAAGAAGCAGGTGAATGATTTTTTTTTTTTTTAATCCTGTTTGCCTGCTTTGTCAGCTTGCAGCATGAGACAATGGTCTCATCCTAAGCTAATGACGCTAACGTTTTTGATGGAAACAGTTATCTTAATGTGGTGCGTGTCCCTTTAATTTCATTTATAGGGGCCGGAAATCTAAACAGTAATCAGAAGACTATGGCGTTAGGAATGTATGTTTGTATTCCTAACTCTCTAGAGTTATATTATTAATAAATTCTAAATTAACTCACCGTGCAATGAGGGAAGCTAAAAAAATCCCTTAGGCTCTTTTTCTAACAAACGTGTAGGGAGGCTGTGCCAGTCTCAGCCAGGGGAGGTGTGCGTAGGGCTGCAGAGACCGTGATTTAACTCTTAAATAGCAGAGAATTGAGCAGAGGCCCAATCTATACACCAGAACTGCTTCATTAAAGGAATACTTCAGATTGATGAAATGCTGTATGTGTCTGGAGTCTGTCATTGTCTGCGCATACAAGTCAACGTGTAGACCTTAAAATCGCCCTCATACACATGAATACACTATAGATCATAAAGATGCACAGTGTATTCAATGTAAAATATAAAGATTTACTCACCTCTCCTGCTTTCCAGTAGGGATGTGCACGGGCAAAAACTTTGGTTCGGTTCCGAAATTCGGGCAAGAAAAATTGTCTGGTTCGGCAATTCGGACCAATGGCATTCGGTTCGGTTTGGGACTTCTGCAATTCAGAACTTCGGCAAATTCGAACCCTAAACCTATGGCAACCACAGCGCATGCTATATTTGGAGATCAGGGGGACCTCCTGTGGGAGGGTTTTTCTGCTCTACCATGTGATTTTTTAAATGTTCTTTTCCTCCTAATCTATACATTTTTAGCAATAAACATTTATGCTATAATGACCATTTGTTGTGTGGGCCATGACAGGCGCCCTTTAAGTTAAACTTGATCTGATGCGGAGAGTGTCCCTTTCAGTTTGAAACTCAATTTGAATTCCCAACAATAGAAATCATTGAGATCTTTAGTTTTACTAATATTCCCAAAAATATCAAGTTCCCTTCGTTAAAAAGTCCCACGTTGGTAAATAATTCAGTGAGGGGCACGTTCCCCAACTCATGGTGCTATAATGGCATCTGACACAGCAGGATGTCAGCCAGATAAATAGTACATTTCCAGAACACGTGGGTGCACCACCGTATCGCCTTCCCTGTACAAGACATTCATATTGGAGACATTACATAAAAAGTGATTCATATCAGACTATGCAGCTGGGGAGAGTTTACCCCCTCGGGAAACGTTTGGTCTCTTACAGTATAACACGCTTCAAGGAAAGGTGTCAGAACTACACACAAAAGGTGCTAAAAATATATATATATATATATATATATATATATATATATATATATATGTTAAACCACTTTATTACACAAGGCTAAGCACTTAAAGGGACAGGGACAGTAAAGAGCAGTAAATCCAAACGTTCCTGTTCGTGTGATTTGGGATTTTGGCTATAGTACAATGTTTCAAGTTGCTAATTTGCTGCTGTGATAGCACCAATCTTTTGACCGACTGAACCCGCTCTCCGAGGCACAATGGTCCATATACAGAGGCAAACACCACAAAAACAGTACAGATGGTTAGAATGACAGAAACATAGAATGTGATGGCAGATTAGAACCATTCGACCCATCTAGTCTGCCCAATTTTATAAATACTTTTAAAATTAGTCCCTGGCTTTATCTTAAAGGGACACTCCAAGCACTTCTGCCCATTGGGTTTTTTTATAAACTGCAACAATTACCTTAAAAGGGACATCCAATCACTATAGAGTAATCATTCCAGGAGAATCTCCATATAAAATATTACCAGGGGCTTCAAAACAAGGTGAAGGAGATAGCGCAGCTAAGCGGACAAGGGCACATGTAGGAGTGTGGGGATAGATGCGTGGGATTGGTTGGGAAAGAGTGTGTGGGTGGGATTATGTTCTGTTAGTGTGGGGGAGGTCTTACCACAGTGCCACTTGGGATTCGGGCCAGCAAAGAGCTTCCCTCCCGCCCGCCTGCCCTATTAGTATATTTAGTCACAACTAGCCGGGGGTATGTCCTTGCCAATTGAGTTTGAGGGGTTACGTTTAAGTATATGGAATGAGATGAACAAGTTTTTAAGGTCTCAACCTCCCCTGCTTCAAAGGGTTAACCTTAGGTTACCTGGGGTATCGTGCCCATCGAGCATGGATAAGGTTGGCTGGTGGCGGGCATTGGAAAGATATGCTTTTTATGACGAGGGGGAGGTGAGAGGAAGTCGCACGGTCAGTTTATTGGCAAGGATGGTTGATTCACTGTATGACACTATGTGTTAAGTTATATGCATATATATGTTAATTTATGGCTATTTATGTTTAACGTTTTGGTTACAGAAATTAAGAGAAATGTATTAAATAAATGATGGATGTGTCATACAGTATTTGTCATATGTTATAATAAATGCTGTGGCCGGTTTCATCCATACTACGCTGTCTGTCATTATTTTGGAAGGGGGATGACTTTGGGTTGGTTTATGTATTATGCTGCATCACGATTCCCCACTACATACATGGCTTGTGTTTTTTGTACCCCCGCTACCCACCCAAGTTTACCCCAGACCAACACAGTGTGAAATGTCGTTTTAGACGCATGGCTCAAATAAGGTACAAATTCCTGGCAATGCGGAATCAAATATTTCACACATGATGTCTCACAAAAAACACGCCAGACACTGCTTGCAAGGCCACCCTGCCCTGTGCCAAACAAACTACAGGAATACATTTACAACAAAATAAAATAAAGTTGGAATGTGCTGACCTGTCTCATATGAATTAAAAACAGATTGTACAGAATGGCTACAAAAAGTAAAACGGTCATTTAAGGCAGTGATTTGTCCTCAGTAATTACCAACAGACCTGAAGGCCAGTACTAGTCACTACGCACCATGGCTGACATTTAGCAGTCCATAAACTGGGTTAGTATGATGGGAGTTACAATAAAACTATCCGAATCAAGTGTGAAAAAAAAAAAAAAAAAAAAAATTATACACGTTTAGAATTTAAATAAGTAAATATGAAAATCCGGATAGCGCGTTTTTTTCCGCACTTCACAATGTGTCCCGTTTAAAGCGGTTGTTTTGGGGTTTTATGAGACATGTATAGAGCCTACTCAAAAGAAGAGGAAATCTCAAAATTTGGGGAGTTAGTCTGGCTATTGCCCCTGTCAGATCAAGCGTGTCCAATGATGCCAGCTGCTCTTTTTTGAGGATTTGTGCCACTATAAACAGGGCAAAAAAAAAAAAAAAAAAGACACCAAACCTGAGAGTATGGGACGGGAACTCAACTACAGGACAGTCAGAAAGTATAACACGGAAACGTCGCAAAAATTAAATAAAAACTACTTTTGAGGACAGCTGCAGAACATGGGCACAGCTCGGCCATACATATCCCATAATTTCCTGCATAGTGGGAGCTTCCTGGAAGCATACGTTGCATTTGGTTTTGGAAGTGTAAGACAGTTACGGATTAAAGTCCTTTTTTTCTATTATGTAAAAACACAATCTGGAATCTCACAAGACATTTTTTTGGATGATGGTCCCATGATGAGAATCGCACACATTATTATACTTTAGGGGTTTGTTTAATTACCGGATCTCTGCTGTGTGACTCGAAGGGAGGAGGATATCAGTCATCGACGAGGATTTAACTTCATTCAATGGCATTCTGAAAGAGTCTTAGACTTCAGAAAAAGGGACCCATCAGGTAATGTAAGCTCTTCTATAAGTGAAGACAAACAAGACACGGGACAGGTAGGTATGTGTTCCAGTTCATAAAACAGAACTTACTACTAGTACTTACCTAGAGAGAGGGACCCCGGCCAAGGTACAAAACAGATGACCACTCAGCTGTCCCGTGGGTATCTAATACACAAGACATTCCATTGTGGCATCCAATCTACAAGGCCATCACAGAGACAGCAGGATGTCCCTAGAAACACAAAACTTAGATAGTTAGCGCATATAAGACAGCCCAAGCTAATAGTTATGACAGCCATTCAAAACTACCAGCCGTGGGCTCACAGATCGCCACTCAAAGAGACAGAATGAAAGCCATTTAACAAATGTGACAGTCAGGCGCAGACACCCAAAACAAGACAGTAAATGTAACGGGATAAACAGCAAGTAAGAATTGGATCCTCCATGATTTTAAGACAGTGCATGAAAGGGGCTGCCTGAACAATGTAGCATTCATATGCTACAGGAAGGAAGCCATTTCATTGATGGACAAAAAACACAAAGACAACCTTCTCATCTCACTGCAGCCACATTTGAAATGTATATACAATAGGGCATCACTTTTCATACAGTACTGTACAGTACAGGGGAGTGACACATGCACATGATTAATCTGGATGGGAGACAGACACACCTCCCATACCCCCCCCCATACAATTAATTATAAAGGGGAGACATGGTCTCCAATGCTGTATAATAGGACACATTGAATTTGGTTAAAGGTTAAAATGCCTCTCCTAATCCTTAAGTAATTGGCAAGTCTATAAATACCATACCTGCAGAGTGCTCTCCACAGCCTGCGAATGCAGGTATAATCCCTGCTTGCACACAGGTGAGTTAATCAACACTAGACAAGTTGATTGCGTCACCTGAGTCTAAGCAGGTATTTGGGGAGTTTCTGGATTTGTTAATCTGTGGAATATGATTACATATAAATTAGTAAGTAAATGAACTGCAATCAATCATAAAGTTATTTGTATTTATTAAATGGTGGATATTATTACCACCGCCATAACTGGTTCTGTTTTGGGGCAAACAGCT